GGCACCTAAACATCAAATCCCCTTCAGGGAATCGGCCCAGGTCCCCTAAAGCTATGGGCAAAAAGGCGATTGTAAAATCATGCCACTTGCCAGCACGTGCCTCCGGAACCTCTGTGATTGATGGCCATAAAGCTATCCCAGATAGCGTTGAATTAGCACACAAAAAAGCCTTACCACATCAGGCAGAACAGACGCCTAAATGGAAAAGTGCCAAAGCATTATCTGATACCGACTCCAAATCAGAAAATTGGGTCTCAAGAGGAGGCTTTGATGGAGTCTGCCTCGGAGTATGACGACAGTTCCCCCACTGCCGAGTATATGGCCAAGTCCCTTAACCCTAGCCCTGCCCTATCTCAGACTCCTAAAGGCAACTCTAAACCTGGGTCACATTCAGACACTATACTGGATCCCTTGGGAGATCCGCTATTTGACTCGGATGAACTGCATTAAGGTCAGCAGAGTGGGTACCTGTTGATCATGTGACTTTTTGCAGTTGAGGGTGAGGTGCCCCCTCTCAAAGGCTACATGGAGTAAACTCCAAGCTGAATGCCCTCCCGTTGGTGCCAGGCCGTGTCTGTGAGACACCCGTTCCTGACCAAACTGGGATGAAACCCCTGCAAGGGCCTTGAATCGGCTTTGAAAGCTTGCCAGGACAACCACCTGGATATTTTTGGCACTCTGACCAAATTATTTAAGATGGCCGAAGCAGCCCTTTGTGACGGCTGCTCTGTGGACACGTATTTCATGCTTAGTTGGGTTCAGCGAGCTATTTGCCATGCTGACAACGTTAATACCTCCCTCTCTATAGAGAGACATAAGGCCATATTATTTAAAATCGAGCCTAAACTCGCTAATCTGGCTCTAACCAAGATTGGTAAGGATACTGATGGGCTGCTCTTCGGGGCCTTGTTTATCAAAGACCTAGGCAGATATGTAGGATATGTAGATATGTAGGTGCTTTCAATGCCCTGTATGCGTAGGGTTTTTACCAAAAAGGTCACCATCAGGGCTGGTGGCTACCGGGGCCACCCCGCCAGCCGTGCCTCCTTCTCAGGATCACTTAGACAGAGTCGAGGCTCCCAGAGGGGTGCTTACCAGGACACAAGGACTCCCCCCTTCTTCCCTGGCATTCCAGAGGCTACAGAGTATCCTTCTCATCTAGACGACCATTCGGTGAGTCACCATCTATTTTACCCTTTTTTCCTTTTTTACCTGTGGGGGCAAGACTCACCCATTTTTCTCAAATTTGATCCGCTGTCACCTCGGACGCCTGGGTCCTCCAGACAGTCCCAAGGTACAACCTGCACATTGTCAATGCAGAACTGGAGGAATTACACCTCAAAGGGGCATAGAATTTTCTGACCCCTCATGCATAGTGAGCAATATATTTCTGGTTCAGAAAAAGGGCGGACAGATGCAGTCTCCGTTCCTTGAATGCCCTGGTGTGCTACAGGCACTCCAAAATGGAAGGTATTTACTTTCTCCGTGATTTACTCCTCACCGGAGATTGGATGGTAAAGCTGGACCTCAAAGACGCCACCTCACGGTTTGCCACAGACTCAAGGGACTTCCTGCAATTACTTTGGCGGAGAGAGAGGTGGCGGTTTACTTGCCTGCCCTTTGGCCTCTCATCGGTGCCTTGGTGCTTCACTAAGCTGTTATGGTTCTGCTGTGGGGTCGCGGTGTCCGGCTGATAGTGAACCTGGAATACATCCTCATATTGTCCGAGGATCTGGACACTCTTCAGCTCCATCTACGGTGGGCCGTGGACCTCCTCCTCTTGGTTTCCTCATGAATTGGGAGAAGTCACAAATGACCCCCGCAAGAAAGATGGAGTTTCTGGGATTCTTGATGGACTCAATCAACGAGACCTTGAATCTACCTGCCTGCAAAATTCGCTCATTAGTAGGGAGATCCATCGGACCCTGTCTCAATTGACTCGTGTGATTGGGCTTATGGACGCATCGGTCCAGGCGATATTCCCCAGATACATGGTGCAGCTTTGAACTTGTACAATTATGAGCCACCATGTCTTGAAATAAAATTACATGACTTTGCTATTTCATAACAAAAAGTCATGATTTTATGAAAGACACGGAGGCGAGTATTGTCCCACCCTGTTTGCTAGGGCTGCATTCTCCCTCCCTCATGTCTAGTTGGCTTTTATGCTTCATTGCTGTAACTTTTCTTAGGTGGCTATATCCTCCGTCAGGTTTGTACCATATGGTTTACATTGTAATTTCTATTGATACAGTATGGTTGGGTTTTTGTATTGCATTGTCATGATTTGATTTTACGGGTTGTCTACTTGATGTTATACTATTAGTTGACTCTGTGATGTCTAACCAGGGCTAGACCCTGTCTTTAATGTTTTCCAGGTCCATGTTCCCTAAGCTTGTGCTGTTGGTTCTCACTCGCCTCACCGCGTTCTATTTTATGGATTAGACTGCCGCTCTTCTCACTGTGGGAGATATTGGTTTGCCGCAGTTCTGATTCCTGGTTAATACTGGTCGGTTGCTGATCTGTTACTGATGGACTGTTGATTCACCAAAGAAAGAGGGAGTTGAAGGGTGTGATCCTCGATTATAGGGATGGCTGCTCATGAGGAGGTGGAGTTTGGGAAGTCACATGTTAGCATCCTTTTTTCTCATTGGTTTCTCTTGCTGCTGAATGTTAAGTATAGAAAGAGATATGCACAATATGAGCCTCCGTGTCTTTAATAAAATCATGACTTTTCATCATGAAATAGCCAAATCATGTAATTAAATGCCATTTTTATAGCAAGCCATACAAATGATTGCCAAATAGTTTTTGTTAGTTGTAACATTGTTAGTCTAAGAGTTTTGTCACGTTACCATTCAAGGTATAGAACCTTTTCTATAATTCAACAGAACAGTTTTCATAAAATTGAGAATTGACCAGGAACGCTTTACAGACATCTCCAAAATTTGTAAATCTATTTTCAAATCTCCACAGTTCCTGGTGTCAGTGAGTATCAGTAAATGCAAATATTTATGGTTTTCACATATCATGAAGCCGTAACAAACTGTTGGATATAAGCTTTTCAAGACAACACGTTGGGAATATTTATGACAGTTATGGCAGATCGTCTGTCATAAAGTGGTTAATGTATAGAATATCTAAAAATCTTTATACTCCATAATAATAATTTAGATTAAAATACAAAGCTCCCATGCCTACTGATCCCCTAAAAGATTTTTAAAGGAATGAGGTCGCAGACATACTAAAACATAATTTGGCACATTTTAAATTTGACTTAAAAGCCTCAGATTATTCTTTCACAAGAACAGCTTCTCTGTGGAGGAATTACACCTCACTCGATCTCAATGAATGATTAAATAATTTAAGGTCACAGGAGAAACATCCCTAGTTTCAGAAGCTTTACACCAAGCATGTCAAAATCTGGCACGGGCCACATAAACAAGGTTTAATTTTATGTGGGCCAAAACCCCCCAAAACTTACATTTTCATAGAAACTTAGGTTTATTTTAAAAAGTACAGTAAAAAAAACAACCCCTCTACTAAATTCCAGCACACCCCTCTACTAAATCCTAGTACCCCCCCACTCTACCACCCTTGCCAAATCTGATCCTCCCACTACTTCTTGAAACCCTGTGAAGGTGGAGCACGTCGATGTCACGTGGCGTTGCGTGCCTCCATGCACCTCCAGGTACTACACTGTCCAGTCGCAGCCAATGCAACACTGACCAACACACACACTCACAGACAGTCACACACACATACTCACTCACTGACAGACAGACAGACACACACATACTGACAGACAGACAGACACACACACACATACTGACACGGACACAGACACACACACATTTACACATTCTTGCACTCACAACATTTAATGTATTGTTCCCTACTTTTGGGAGCTGGTGTGGGGATCTTCTGTCTGGAGCTCAGCCTTCCTACTCTACACTGCTCCCTCATGCAGTTTAGTGATGCCGGGTGCTGGAATATGATGTAATAGTCTGGCGCCCAGATTTGGCTATCTACCCTTCTTTTTTTTTTACCAAAACCATTGTCCATGATGCATGTTTGTAGAGTAAAATTTCCCTTTCAATGTTTCCCCACAAAAACTGAATACACCAACCCCCCAAGCACGAATGTGTAATATCGTTGTGTATAATATCACAACGCAAGGTCCACCGCCATCATTTTCAACGGACAATATAATAGATCTTCAAAGCAGCCAAGCCATGATCTTTAGAGCCTTTCACCCATGGCTACACTTTCCATTTCACCAAGCAGCACCTGAAAGATGGAGAGACTTGTCAGCTTTCCATCTGCCGTCCTGTGATATCCACGTCATGATGATGGACTGGTCACTGTGTAGCTCAGTTGCAGTTACTTTTCTGCACACCGTGACCTTCTGTGTAGAGCTTTGAAACGTCGGCGCAAGCTATTAGAGGTAATTACGCAGACAGACCAAGGGTGAAAGACCTGTGCATAAAGAGACCATTTATCAATGGAAGGGGAGGTTAATGTTTGCTTTTCTCCCAAATTCTCCCAAATTCTCCCCATGAAATGATCTATTTATGGAAACCATTTTTTTGAATGTGGATATCTTGAACTATTGGAAAGCGTGGGAATATGTTATTGGCGGTGAATATTACACTACAATTCCCAGAATTCACACCTTGAATACACTTGCTGTAATAATAGGAAACCAAGAAAAGGGTGATTCTGACTCTCTCTATCTAGAAATATCTAAATTCTGCCTCTTTGCCATCCACATAACAGTAACAGGGGCTGTAGAACCACAGAATAAACAGAAGGATAGACCTCTGAGGCATCCATCCTGCCGTGTTCCTCTCTGCCAACCAACACCAAATCTGTGTCGTTGTACCCACTATAAATTTCATCACTCATTTACCCTTCGACAATCTATAGGAACCTACGGCAGCGCAGCTGGGAGTCTCTGAAGAATAGAAAAAAATTGGACATTGTGTACCAGATAGATATAGGAGTCTCAAGTGCAGATATACAGCTAGAACCATTGGTACACAAGATCTTGTGGTTCTAGCTGTATATATGCGCTTGAGACTCCTATATCTATTTCGGAGCCATTAAGTACTTTACAAGATTACTCTCCCTGATACCTTCCCATTGGTACACAATGTCAATTTTTTAAAATTTTTTATACTAAGGGTTACCCCCTTTGTATAGTGTACCACTTAAGGCTGTATACAGTTTTTTTTGGTCTCTGAAGACCAAAACATGTTAAATTGATATGTGTGTTTCTAGCTATGTGTAGTGTAAATACATGTTGTTAATCTTCTATTAACTATGTTAATAGATCTAATGGATGAAATTAAAAGGCTACTGTTGTGGTGGCAATTCTCTTAATTACAAAGATTGTTTTAAACAAAAAATCCCCACCCACCCCCCCATTAACAGCTGGTAAAACTAATATATGTACTTGGCCAAAGTGTGAGTTCGATCTCTTGTTTATCACGTCATGATAAGCCTTGTGTATCTTATTATATAAACTGTCTCCAGATTAACTGCAGAGCAATTAACTACGGAGAGCATCGGACCATTGGTACAGAGCAGAGTGGGCAAGATATTCCACGGATCGTTAAGACCTGCTCACATATTACGTTCGTGGAATTACGACTCTACGGCAGGGTTGCTTCTTGGAGCAAAGCTCACACTTCCTGTATGGACACAGCCTCTTCTTATCTGTTCGGGTTTTAAATAATTCACCACAATTTCTCCATTTATGTCACTTGGGGTTCTGAGACAATTTGTGCAGGCAGAAAAGAAGCGTTTAGCTGAAGCATCAAATCGATACGACAAATCCTTTGATAACCATTTGCCGCCTTGAAATATGGGATGCGCTGTAGTTTATTTTGTGACCTGAGTGCCAGTATATTTCTCCTGTTTCACGACGCTGAATGTCTGCTGTAATTTTTTTGTAACCTTTTAAAGGCTTACAATGAACTCCACAATATCGTATTATACATTAACTCATTGTCTGCTGCACCAGTTATGACAGAAACTAGTTCCTCAATGTACACAGATCCATTGACAATTTATTGATTATTACTGAACCATGGATTGTGTTAACCCCTTTAGGATTAGGGGTTAGGCAAATCCTGTGATACAATAGCAGCTCCAAGAATTGACGCTTAAATATGCCCTGTAAGCGCTACAACCACTGCAGTGCCACTATGATGACGAGGTCACGGCCCTGGCCTACAGAAAGTTCTTCGACAATTTTGAACCAGTTTGACAATTGCCTGGTGCCTGAGGATCCTGCAGTCTGGCCTCGCATAGTCTGTCCTCTTCTTCAGATATCTCGAAAACAGAAGTCACTAATTGTGTTTTAAAGATATCACTTCCTTCCAATGGGGACCAAACTGATCTATTTATTCTGAAAGAGGAGCCAGAACAACCGCACAAAACTACTTACTGAAGTGAGATGTCCATTGTTTGCAATCAACGCATTAAAGGACCACTGTCCTCAAAATTTCACTTTTCATTTTTTTTTTAAATTGACGACATTTAATGAAATTTTGTTTTAATTTGTGTTTATTGATTATTATTTTTGGAGTAAATTCGAATTTTTATCTGGCTGAGCTGCCATGCACCGGCAAGTTACAGTACTGTGTGTGAACCTGCAGCAGCCAGCAAGTTAGGGTGAGCACAGTTGGACAGAGAACAGTAGTGTGTGACCCAATATGGCGGCTCAGACAGAGGAAAAGTGATATTAGCTAAATAAATAAATATACTACACTAAAAAAGAGTAGTTAGAATGTTGTCCTTTAAGGTATGTGACAAACTCCCCTTCCCACGTGAGTTTGCCACAAGCCCCTGGAGGAGCCTGCTTGCCAGCCTCCTGCCCACAGACTATGGGCCCTGCAGGAAAACCTGTAAAAGACTGTTTAAATAGCTTGGTTCATGTGATTTCCCTATACTGTTCGGGAACCGAACATCCGCACGAACAAGGGACTACACGGGAGCTTGTTAACCCCTATTAACACCTTGGAACAGTTCTCACCTCAGTGTTCTAATCGTTCATCTTGGTGGCCGCAATTCATATGAACGACCACGAGGTGGCGGCCATTTTGTTCACACGAACGCAGACATAGGTGTTTGGTCGTCGAGTTCATGGAACTAAAACCAGACACTGAAACCCCAAACACCTTCATCATCACCCTGGACATCATCACCGTCGCTGGACCATCATCACCTGCGTTTGGTTCTGTAGATCCTAGAACAACACTGTTTGGTGGAATCGTTCGTCTGGGTGAGGGGAACAAGCTCCACAGTTCAAATAGAGACTACGTTCGGTATTTTATTCTTTTTTTTTTTTTGTTACCGAAGTTGACCGACCGCTAGCCCTGATTTCATGGAACTGTTTTGGGCATACGACCATGTGCACAGTCGGTTAAATAATTGACTTCTATGGAAAAGGCGGACCTCTGAACCGATCTGAGTGATTTTTGGATATGTTTGTCACCCAGATCGGAGCTAACATGGGGTGTAACTTTTGTGGGGTTTTTGTGTATTTTATAAATCATGTTTTCTGTGCCTGGAGATAGAGTTTGTACCGTTGCTGACTCAATTATCTCTCAGGCACAGGGGAAGGATTACCCTGTTTTGTGTTGGAGTGTCCTGGGCATGCTTGCTGTGACTCTGAAATGTATAAAAGCAGGCCATCTGGCCAGATTAAAGCATTCCAGCTTGTGCTCCCAGAACTATGTTTCGTCTAGTTACGGGGATGGGAAAGGGCTAATCACTGTTCCAGCTTGTTCCAGTGTGGAGGATTCATCTGGGAAAGTCGTTGTAAGGACTCCAGCTCCCAGAACTGTGTGTCGTCCAGTCCCTGGGAGTGGATAGAGCAAGTCCCCTAGCCTGCTCCAGGACGGAGAGGTTCCAGGACCCCAGTCAAGTCACGGCGGCTGGGGGCAGAAGCACTGTCGTTTGTCCCCTGTTCCAGCTAGGAAGCGGTCCTTGGCGTGGGTACCCAGCCGGTACATTTGTAACCTTTTGTATTGGCAGTTACTAAATGGATATTGTTTGTTCTGTATTTTGAGTGGGACGCATATAACGTACACCGTATAACGCTCAGCAGTGGCTCCAACCGTGAAAAGAGAGAAACAAATCCAAGATATAAATACTGGTTTTCTTTTTACCTTCATCAACAACTTTTATAATGTAATCCTTTGTAGAGCAGAATGTAAACCATCAGCCAGATTAACCTATTAGCTTGAATGAATGACCGGATGGGAATCCCAATTGTAAATACCCACATTAAGGAACGCATCCAACCCATTCCTCAGTGTTTTGGTGACAAACTATTTATGCCAGTGATTTCAGTTTGGATGAGACCCATTTCAAGAATTACAATTAAATCTGGAGCTCATTCTAAACTCTGCAAAATACAATCCTGTTACTCTGAACTATCAAACCGCCATCATTTGGGCAGAGAGAGATTCTACAGTAAGCAGTTGTCTACGTCCTCTCCTAATTACATGTTTTTTCCCAAAAAAGGGATGCACAAATATAGCATTGATACTGTCCCAAACCAAGGGGTTAAAACCATTGTGTTACCGAGTGATAATATATTTATTTGTGCCATTTTCTGCCCCATCAGCCTCTCCTCTAACACGAGCCCTGGGCCAGACACCCGATAATAATGACATTGCTGGCACACTGCCGGGGCTCTGTCCTATTATAAAGCTCCTGGCTCAGGTGAGCCGTGTCTTTTATGGCAGAATCTTTCTGCCGCTGCCTTTTCTCTGTGTCTATTTCCACTCCTGCTTTTCACCTTGTTAACAAGCTGGTAGACATGTCACGGAGAGAACGCGACAGGTCTGACGTGTGTTGCAGAGTGTTTCTGGAATTCAGCAGGGGAACAAAAAGCATTGTATGTTACTTTGTCAAACAGGTGAAGTGTGTGGAAATTATAATCTAGGTCGTGTGACATCCTGCAGGACCATTTGTAAAAACAGTCTATTTATTGTGTGGGAAAGAGCTGTGCACAGCGGGCAGCTCGTGATAAAGCCAAGAGCGGATCTACAAGAGATAAAATGTAAATACAGAAAAGCCTCACTCGGACCCCAGTAACGTTAAAGATCACGGAGCATCCACTTAAATCCAGAATTACCTGGAGCCATTCGGAAGTTCACTGACTACACACAAATTTGCAGTTTACTGAAAATCAAATGGAAAATGCAGATTTGTAAATTTCTCAAAACCAGCTCTAATCACAGCTTTATTTATATTTAGTTTAATGATTGCAATTCACACACACAAAAAAATAATCAGTGTTTAATGAATAAATCCTTGCAGGAAAATAACAATTCCCTTAAACTCTTTTAGGGTAATCCATAATTGCACCAATTAGATCAGGTGAAACGGGTGAATATGAAGATGCCTTATATGAGCTTCATCGATCCTCTTTAGTGGAACTAAAAATCCTGTGATGCCCAGCCAGACATAATCTACAATGGATAACCCCCATTTGGAAACCCTCCCTCCTAATAAGCCCAGATAGTTACAATTAGGAGTAGTGATGTCCCGAACGGTTCGCCGAACGGTTCGCCGCGGACTCGTCATTGAGTAAACTTTGACCCTGTACCTCACAGTCAGCAGACACATTCCAGCCAATCAGCAGCAGACCCTCCCGCCTCCTGGACAGCTCACTAAGAATGCAGCTTCAAAATGGATGCTGTCCAGGAGGTGGGAGGGTCTGGGAGGAAGGGTCTGCTGACTGTGAGGTACAGGGTCAAAGTTTACTCAATGATGAGTCCGCAGCGAACCGTTCGGGACATCACTAATTAGGAGTCCAATCTAATTAATGCATTTAGTGTGCATTTGAGATGAATATTTGCAGCTCTCTGCAATTTAATTTGTTAGTAAAAGAAAAATTGAATCTCTGCCCGAGCTAACAGGAGTCACGCAGGGCTATTCTTTATTCAATGCGACTTTGAGATTGTGAGCTACAATCCGCTAAATTTGAGCTGGAATGGAGAATTTTCCCAATTCGGCTATATTGTCCTAAAATGTGAAATTCATCTTTTATTCACATTGAATTCCCAGAAATTCACAATTAAGCAAATAACTCTGATTGTGGCATTTATTATCTTAGAATTGCTCTGTTTATATCACAGCAATGTTGGCTCTCCTGTGGAAGAAGACTGTCTGAGACAGTGGGGACTTGTAGTTGTGTACTCACCTTTGAGATTCCCATTTACCATGCCATCTCCCTGCATGTGACTCTCAGCCTTTCTAAACACTTTCTGTAAAGAGTTAATGTTTGCTCTTTCTTTATTGCACATTCTGTTTAATTTAGAATTTATTAACTCCTACTCCGATAATAGTTTGCTAGACCCCACAGGAGCCTCCTGTGTGTAATTAAAAGTCAATTTACAGAGAAGGGGATGAAAACTTATAAAGTAAGTTAACATCTGATTGAAAGTGAAATTTTTTTTTTTTATTTTTTTTTGCTGCTCATCCTGGTTTCTTTTCTCTGTTGGTTACTTTTTCTCACTCGATCTGTGAACCAAATTGCAGAAAATGCTTCCATCATATAATGTATATATTTTGCAGCACACAGATTGGCCCATTTTCTGCCTTATTGGTTTGTTCTTTTGATTCTGTTGCAGAACTAAATTTCCGCTGTCAAAATGTTCTATCTTCGGAAATCTGCAGAGCAGGAAATTCCTCACTGTTCACAAGTCTTTTGGTTGTTATGGTGCTTAGAGTGTGCCCTTAAAGGGACACTCCAGGCACCCAGACCACTTCTGCCCATTGGAGTGGTCTGGGTGCCAACTCCCACTACCCTTAACCCTGCAACTGTAATTATTGCAGTTTTCGTAAACTGCAATATTTACCTTGCAGGGTTAGCTCCTCCTCTAGTGGCTGTCTACTAGACAGCCACTAGAGGGCACTTCCAGGATTATAGCACAGGTTTTTTGTGCTATAGCGTCACTGGACGTCATCCTGCTATGTGAGGACCTCCAGCATCGCTAAAATCCCCATAGCAAAGCATTGAAATAATTTTCAATGCTTTCCTATGATTGAGGTCTAATGCGCGTGCCGGCCGGCTGACGTGGAGAAGCGTGGGCGGACCAAGAAGCAGCGCCGAATGACATCGTCGCTGCCTCTGGTGAGTCACTGAAGGAGTTTTGACCCCTACAGCAACTGGGGATGGGAGGTGGGAGGGAGAGGGGACCTGCAGTGCCAGGAAAACGGATTCTATTCCTGGCACTGGAGAGTCCCTTTAACAGTATTAATAAATTAATTTAAATAAAATCCCCTTTTCCCGTTAAATTTTTGTATGTATCTGTATGGCAAGTCTTGAAGTCCCCCTCCAAAAAACCTAGTGAAATAGCCCTAATTGCTCTAACACCCCTGAAATAAATATTTCTGTGTGACTGTTTGAAACGTATTGGGGGTGGGGAGGATGTGCTAAATGGATGTCTCTAAGAAGACGCTACCGGCAATGGAACAGCATTAAGAAATGAGTCTCTCATTCCTTCAGCAATGAAAGGGTTAACACGTCGGACCCAACGCCAGCAACAAAGCACGTTTTCTATTGAAACGCTTCGGTATCAGATGTTAAGAATGACATATCATTAAGAGGTTAAATATGTGAATATTGTCTCCTGCACCAGAACCTTGATTAGTTTTGTCTAACCAGTTTTGCTTCAGTTTACTCATTGCACTGAAAGGGTTATTATTTTTTAATATGGATATTTTAATTTCCTGGTTCAAGGGACAGATCAAACCTATTCTGTTTATTAATGACATTGGAAAAACTCTAATTTCAGGGTCCACACACAGAATGAGAACAGAGAGCGACTCCTTAACCATCGGCGAGTCAACGTCTTGTTCCATACATTGCTCACATTTAAAGGGCACCAGTCATATATCATCTCCTGGTCATTATACAGACATACGTTATGTAAGCCTCCACACCGTAGATACAACTGTATGGAATATGCAAGATTAAAAGGCTTTAATCAATAAACCAGGATTTGTGCAGAACTGACAAAGGAATTACAAATGTCAGAATAACTAACTTCAAAATACGCAAACTGGAAAATGTTTAATTTCTTCATCAATTCCATGGTCCCTGATTTAATGTTAGCCTGTAAGGCGTTTCACTGTACCAACTACTCTGGCAGCTGATGGCTTATCAAATGAATAGATATGAACATTCTGCGTTAAACGCTGTCACAATGTTAGGAATCAGAAAGCCGTGCTCATTACGGATCAAAGGTCAGATGGGTTTTCATGTCTGATCTGTAGAACTGTAATTTGGGAAACAGTAAAATAAAAGCAACACGTCCGACGACCTTTAGCGGTGCGGTCAGCATTATACATCATAGCAGGTGTCACAATGTATTGATGATCAGTTATGTCTGTAAGATGAAGTGCTAATGAGGAGAAGATTGGATGAAGGCCGCGTGTACGTGTTCATGTAAATCACTAGGGCCGCGTCCTAATCAGGGCTGTTTACTGTGAGATTCACCCCCCTCTCATTTACTGGGGGTGAGCGCAAATCATCATCACCCCATGAAAATATTAAATAGACACAGAACAGGTTATTCACTAAACTGGGAAAAGAATTACTGAGCTGAGCTTGAAAAATTCACTTTAATGAATCCCACTAATCTCCTTATCCACAAACTGCACAAACACTCTAGCCATCACCGTCAAATTACTCGTGGTAACCTTCCCTCGCTGTGGATTGCAAGCTCACAAGCCACCTTGCTTACTACTTTGTATAAAGTGCAGTAAATGTGTAAAAAGCAGAAGAAAAAAAACAAAAAACACATTTTGACTAAGTTGGAATTTTTTGTGAGACTTGACAAAGTCCCCAGACGTTGACAGTGCTGCTCTCATCGACGGCGTTCTCTGGTCCTTTATGTAGTGTGAAACGTGTGGAGGGCTGTGTATGTGGGTGTTAAAGGGAACCTTACGTGTGTCCTTTTTTTTCCCAAATGTTCAGATTTCAACCGAAATTGGTATTTTTATAATGAACCTGGTTACACCGCCCTGTCTGACAATCAGACAGACGTTCCAGTTACTTCCTGATTTGGTTAGCTTTTTTGCACCGAACTCAAGAGTAAGCAATTGCCCAGAGAACCTTTCTTGCAAAGACTTCTCATTGGGAAGTCTGTGATTGGACAGCCACAGAAAATCTGGGTGGGGCTAGAAGGGGAGGGAAGCTGCAGGCAAGAGATGTGGATAAGATATAACCAAAGAAGAAAAAAAAACACATAATTAAATGCATGCATGGTTTCATTGGGGGCATATCTACTAAACATTTATTTTGTGGGCAATGGAGTGTCCTTTAACTAGAGAGGAACAGAGTCGTGAGGGTTCCATGGTATAGTAATGGTGGCTGGACCCAATTCCATGTAGTGTTATTTTTGTACGCTACCCAGGCTGTGCCGCACAGTAGCTGCATTATCAAGAGCCAATCAGCAAACAGGGAGGAGGCAGCATGAGGTGGCTAGGAGACAGTGTTGGTTGCCTGCATGGGTGGGAACCTACGTTACTGCTTTCTAAATCAGCCAATCGATGTGCCGGCTGCCCCTGCTTGTTCACTGCAAACCACACACAAAAAACAAAGATAAAAGAGCAGAATAAAACAAAAATATGTGGCTTCGCTGTGCAAATCATTTTACAGGCCGTCACAAATCTGACCACAAGTTATTTATTTTCATGGTAAACTTGGTTTTACAGCACAAACATTAAAAAAAAAAAAAAATCTATTTACACAGACGTAGAATATCAGGGTCTCCTCACGGCCCTTCTGGCCGGTCCCCAAACTCTGGATAGTCCGTAATGTTGACTATTCACACAATCTCAAATCTTCGAGAGAAGCTCAAGGCTTTTTCATCTTCTTCACGGACGACGAACTGGAAGCGGATTCTCTGCGTTTTCTCTGTATGGAAAGAAAATTGTGTATCAAATTATCTGCCAATAGTGGGCAAAGAACAGGCACAATCACTGCACGATTAAAAAAAGAATATACAGCACTGAGCACACCGGAACCTAAAGTGTTACACATACACGCAGAATTAGGACACATTCATTAGGGTAACCTGTGAAGTGCTGAGTACACCTATTGGCTCTATATAAATATAATATACATACACTGTATACCTACTGCACTTACTGTACCTCCCTCTACTGTAATGCAAGTGCTGAGTACACCTGTTTGTAACTATGTATACAGTGTATGTATATTTTATTTATATAGTGCTTAGTTACATAGCTGAAAAGGGACTTGCGTCCATCAAGTTCAGCCTTTCTCACATGTTTTTGCTGTTGATCCAAAAGAAGGCAAAAAAAACAGTTGGAAGCACTTTCAATTTTGCAACAAACTAGGAAAAAATTCCTTCTTGACCACAAAATGGCAGTCAGATATCTCCTTGGATCAAGCAGCTATTACCCCACTAATTAGAAATTATATCCCTGTAAGTTATGCTTTGAATTCCATATCCTTATTGCTCTTACCGTAAAAAACCTTTCCTTTGCCTTAGATGAAATCTCCTTTCTTCCAGTCTAAATGTGTGACCTTGTGTCCTATGTATAGGCCTCTTTATGAATAGGATTTCCAGATAATGGTTAGTACTGGCCCCGAATATATTTGTATAATGTTATCATATCCCCTCTCAGGCGCCGTTTTTCCTAACTAAAGAGATTTACATTTTTAACCTTTCTTCCTAACTAAAATGCTACATTCCTTTTATCAATTTTGTAGCTCGTCTCTGCACTTTTTCTAGTGCCATGATATCCTTTTTAGAACAGGTGCCCAAAATTGCACAGCATATTCAAGGTGTGGTCTTACCAGTGTTTTATAAAGAGGCAAAATTATATTCTCATCCCGAGAATTTATACACGACAAAACCTTACTGGCCTTAGCCACTGCAGATTGCTGCCTAATTTGTTGTCTATAAAAATTTCCAAATTCTTCTCGTGTGTGGTTATCCCTAATCCACTGCCATTAAAGGGAAACTCCAGTGCTATGTGCGCATGCGCATTAGAGCTCCCCATAGGAAAGCATTGAAAATGCTTTTCAATGCTTTCCTATGGGGAAATGAGCAACGCTGGAGATCCTCACACAGCGTGAGGACATCCAGCGACGCTCTAGCACAGGTTTCCTGTGCTAGGGACACGGAAGTGCCCTCTAGTGGCTGTCTCAGAGACAGCCACTAGAGGTGGAGTTAACCCTGCAAGGTAATTATTGCAGTTTATAAAAAACTGCAATAATTACACTTGCAGGGTTAAGAGTAGTGGGAGTTGGCACCCAGACCACTCCAATGGGCAGAAGTGGTCTGAGTGCCTGGAGTGTCCCTTTAAGGGTATAAGTTGCTTGTGCATTCTTGACCCTGAAGTGCATAACTTTGCATTTCTCTACATTAAATTTCATCTGCCATTTTAGTGCCCAGTCCCCCAATATATTCAAATCTCTCTTAAGCAAAGCAATATCCTGTTCACATTTTATTACTTTACAAAGTTTTGTGTCATCTGCAAACACTAAAACATGGCTTTCAATGCCTATTTCAAGATCATTTAAAAAAATATGTTAAATAGAAGCGGTCCCAAAAGGGACACCACTTACCACTTTTGTCCAGCTTGAACATTTACCATTAATGACAACTCGTTGTACTCTATCCTTAAGCCAATGTTCTACCCAAGAACAAGAATATTCATCTAGACCAATTTTTTTTAGTTTGAAGACTAACCTACTGTGAGGATCAAATGCCTTGGCAAAATCCAAGTAGTTCACATCCACTGCAACACCCTAAACTATACTTCTACTTACATCTTTGTAGAATGCAACGCCTTTTGTCTTTCTTTTTATTTGCCCTGATTACATTCACAAAATAAGAAAAACTATTAACATTACCAGGAAAAAAAAGACATCCTTAATTAAAGGATTTGATTTTTATTCCTTGTAAAAGTGGTCTACAGAACCTGTCATATAAAAAAAAAAAAAAAATGTTACAGGAAAATAAAAGGATGAAAGAGGCCAAGTAAGGTACAGAGATGGGCAGGTGGAAAATATCCAGAAAATTAAACGGGGGGCAGTTATAAGATTTAAAGGGATGTGATCAAATAAATTCAGGAATTCAGACAGTAACAATCGCTGCACAGAGCGATTCACCATGTCTACAATATACTCCCCAAGAATCCATAAACATATTGTATGGGTCCTACGTAATACTGCTCAGGGGGATAAACACATGAAATATAATAAATAATCTGGGGATTTTCACAAAGTTCCACTTTCTAATGGTTTTATTTAAATCCTGATGTTTGTTACTATCTCCTGAAACCACCACCAACAAAAGCCTCAAAACAAACTATATAACACATTAACTAAAACAAATAAACCTAAAAACCCATTTTCTTTACTATATTGCTTACAGTTTTATTTGGGGTTTCAAAGTGTAGGATATTAGCACATTTTGGAAATTTGCTAATTAAAATGAGGACTGTGCAGTTAACCCTCTCTTAGCCAGGGGCAGCAATATACCAGGCAATGCGAGATTTTGTGAACACAAAGCAATATCGACTTGCTGATCTAACGTGAAACTGCTCGCAGGCATGAATCAGCCCATAATGGATCACTGTCTTTAATTATGTATATAAATAACCATTCTTCATTTCCTTCCACTCATTAGGCAGCTAAAACAAAGAAGGGCTACTCATTTGTACTCGGACATAAAGTGTTCGCTAATATGCAGAAAGCATTAAAGGATAAGGTTCATTTTTCAAATGTGTCATATGATCAAATTTATATCTTCGGTGTCTCTGACTTCACGAAAGCCCCTCAGCTAAACGTTTAGATGCCTCGTTGTGCTCCTGCACAGCCATGGCAGTGGGCATTTAACCCATTATCTATCAAGGGAGAAGACTGCAGGTTATCGAAAAGAGATGACAACCCACAAGTCCCAGCTTTGATTAGGTCCTTCAGTACGGGCTGACTCTAATACGCAACTTTTACTTTAAATCATTAAACACTGATGTAGTAATTATTCTACATACCAGAGTTCAGCTTTCCCGGGGGAAAGCACAAAGCAACAAGAAACAAGGGCACAAGAGACATTTCTAGATCACAAGACAGCTAGATCTATCTATCCCAGCTTGCTTGCCCCAGTCTGTGCTGTAATGTCGGTGGTCAGATTTATCCTTAATTCAATCTTTTTAGCGGAGTATTTAGTGTGTAGCAAATTCACCAGTAGATTTTACGGTCCTTTTTATAATTTATTAAAGGACCACTATAGGCACCTAGACCACTTCAGCTCAATGAAGTGGTCTGGGTGCCAGGTCCCTCTAGTTTTAACCCTGGCTGCTGTAAAAATAGCAGTTTCAGAGAAACTGCTATGTTTATATATGGGTTAATTCCAGCCTCTAGTGGCTGTCTCATTGACTGCCGCTAGAGGCGCTTCCGTGCTTCTCACTGTGATTTTCACAGTGAGAAGACGCCAGCACCCATAGGAAAGCATTGAGAATGCTTTCCTATGAGACTGGCTGAATGCGCGCGGATGCGCATTCAGCCGATGACAGCAGAAGAAGGAGGAGGAGATTCCCCAGCGCTTGAAAAAGGTAAGGGATTAACCCCTTCCTCATCCTAGAGCCTGGAGGGAGGGGACCCAAGGACCCTATAGAGCCAGGAAAACGAGTATGTTTTCCTGGCACTATAGTGGTCCTTTAAGGTATATATATATATATATATATATATATATATATATATATGTACTTATTAGGAACAATGGGTATTTCTCGACTAAATGTTCTACAGTCAAGGTGGGGTTAAGTGTTCTTATTTGGCACATTTTGCTAATTATATCGCAGAAATTCTAGCAAAGTCACAGACAGCTTTCGTTAGCTAGATAAACTGCATTAGCGCATTATTCTATGTACTTTGCGGTGTTTGATCACACAAACGAATATATGAGGAGTTATAAAGACACACACTAGGAATCTCCTGCATTAATTATACTTTATTACAAAATACACTTTCCAAACGAAATCGTTTTATAATCAAATTACATGCATGACAGACGGACAGATTCACACGTTATATACAGCTAAATAGAGCGAGCGATGCACACATTCACACAGACACGCCACTTTTTTCTTTTTATTCATACATTCAAACTCCATCTGGAAAGAAAGATTTCTGTTTGATTTAACAATGTAACTTCTTGGTTTCAAATCAGCTCTGAAAACAAGGAGTCAGCAGGAGTGCAGCCGCAGAAAGCTTAAAAGTTGCCTAATTCTGACTCGAAGCCTGAGACTTCATAGACTCGAGGTCTTTTTCTTTTGCCCATTAGTGGGTTGACTTCTGAGAGCGGGAACAAAGGCCTGCAGTGTGAGGCATTCTGGGACAGCCAACTCATTAGGGACGGATGGCTGGAGTACAAGTTTAGGGAATCAAAAGCCGTTCTAATCTGGAGTAGCTGGCCGAACTTCGGCGTGGAACTAATTTGCTCCAAGTCGGGCTTCGTCTCTGCAAGACCTTAAGTCTCCCTCATGGGGTCAACTCAGGCTCGGGGGATTCTAGAGCAGAGGCAACACGGACAGATCTGATGCCTTACCTGACATTATATACTGTGTAACACAGGGAATTCTGTAATCACGGCAAGCACCAGTGGCACCTAGCAAAATAGGATAAAACCAGAGTCCTCAGATAAATATTAACAAAGTAATCTCTTCGTTAACTAGCTCTGGAATCTCTGTGTGCCCTGTGAGATCTGTTTTGGTTGAATGTAAACCAAGTACTTTACATTTTGCAGACTACACAAAGCATCCTGCTGCTCAGGAAAAGAGATGATCACATCCAATGATTTAAAATCCTAATGTCGTGGAACTTGATTGGTCCAGCAATGCCAGCCTAAAATTAGGGGCTTGCAGGGTAGAGCGATGTTAGACGTGGGGGCTTGTAAGGTAGAGCGATGTTAGACGTGGGGGCGTGTAAGGTAGAGAGATGCTAGATGAGGAGGCTTGTAAGGTAGAGCGATGCTAGATGAGGTAGCTTGTAAGGTAGAGCGATGCTAGATGAGGGGGCGTGTAAGGTAGAGCGATGCTAGATGAGGGGGCTTGTAAGGTAGAGCGATGCTAGATGTGGGGGCTTGTAAGGTAGAGTGATGTTTTATTGGGGCTTGTAAGGTAGAGCAATGTCAGACGTGGGCAGGGCCGGACTCGCCCACCGGGAGACCAGGAAATTTCCGGGTGGGCAGTGGCACCTGGGGGCTGCACAGCTCAGTTTCTTTAGTAATTGCTGCCACCGGGTGGCCAGTCCGGTGGAACACTTTGAGGGGGCCGGCCACGTCCGATAGTTACCTTGCAGCCGTTGGCCGCAACTCCTGTAATGCATGGTAGTGCCGCCGAGCCAGGTGGTCGCCTAGCCGGTCCGACAGCACACTCACCAATACTGACAGGCGTGCAGCTGTCATACAGCACAGGAGGACTAAGGGAGGGGGCAGAGCTGACTATCATGCTCCCTCGTGGTTCCAACCATTCATGGCACAGCCACGTCATAGAGTAGTAATTACTCTATGATGTGGCTGTGCTGGGCATTGTGGGAACCGCGAGGAAGCATGATAGTCAGCTCTGCCCCCTCCCTCAGTCCTCCTGTGGTATTGGACCGACTGTCAGACAAGTTCAGTCTCAGGGGGTGGTGAAGGGGAGAAACAGACACAGGGGAAAGGGGGAGAAAGAGACAGAGGGGACAAGAGACACACACAGGGGGAGGGGGAGAAAGAGAGAGAGGGACAAGAGAGACACACAGGGGGAGGGGGAGAAAGAGAGAGAGGGACAAGAGAGACACACGGGGGAGGGGAAAGGACAAGAGACACAGGGGAGAAAGAGACAGAGGGCAAGAGAGACACAGGAAAGCTAAAGAGAGGGGGGGAGAGAGACATGGGAGTGGGGGGAGAAAGAAAGATAGAGGCAAGAGACACAGGGGAGAAAGACACTGGGGGAGAAAGACACGGGGAGAATGACACGGGGAGAATGACACCTGGGGAGAATGACACGGGGGGGAGAAATGACACCGGGGAGAACACACGGGGAGAATGACGGGGGAGAATGACACCTGGGGAGAATGACACACTGGGGGAGAATGAATATCGGGGAGAATGACACGGGGAGAAAGAAACGGGGGAGAGAAAGAGAGAGGGGCAGAAGGGAGAAAGACAGAGGGGCAAGAGAGAGAGAGGGGGAGAAAGACAGGGAGAGGAGAAAGAGACAGAGGGGTATAAAGACACACAGAGGGTTTGGGAGAAGAATGAGGCACACAGAGGGACTAAGGCAAAGAGAAAGAGACACAACAAAGAGACATACAGAAGGGAAGGGGAAAAAAGTGACACACAAGGTTTGTAGGGGGGGCAAAGCTGGACTGGAAGGAGAGAGAGACACACAGAGGGGATTCGGAAGGGGAGAAAGAAAGGAGCTGGGGCTAAGACACACACATAAGGGGCTGTGAAAAAAGAGATAAACAGAGGGGTGGAGAAGGGTAAAAAGAGACACACAGGCTGGGATGAAATAATAGACACACAAGGGGGGTTGTAGGAGACACAAAGGAGAAAAATTGGAGAAAAGATACACTAAATAAGGTAAAGAATAAAAGGAGGGAATAAAAAACAAAACAAAAAACAAAAAAAAATGGGAAAAAAAATCAAAACGGGGTTAAGAGAAACACAAGAGAAGATGTATTTTTGTGTGTGTTTGGGGGGGGATGCTTTTTCAGCTGTGTCTCCTGCTCTCCCTGTAACTCAGTTCTTCAGCACAGGAGTTTATGCCAAAGAGCTAATTGACAGGTGAGAGAAAGAGCTCCTATTAAATAGATTTTCCTTCCAATATATACATTTTGCTAACACAATGTACATATAGACGTAACTGATGTGATTCTGACAGTAATACACACACACACACACACACACATATATGCATGTATATTAATAATATATAATGATGCCTATAATATTTAGATATATATAATACACACAGAAATGTCATTAATATGTAACATATATGTAATGAGCATGCATTGGCCCAGTCTTGGTGCTAGGTGCATACTCCAACACATTAACATATTTAAAGTGAAGAGCGCACTCATAGGACTTCAAAATAAACAAGATAACGTCATTTTTTTACAGTTGTGCCCTACATACATTCACCATTTCAGTCCCATTACCAAACTTTCCTTAATATGTCAAGGTAGATGGACTGAAACATTGATTATATGCAAATGTACGTCTGCTTAAAATAAAACCACTCTTGTTTATTTTGAAGCCCTATGAGTGCTTTCTTTTGTTAGATAATAGTTTTAAATTTTAGGTTATCTTTTCCACCTCTATATCAGTACATAATGCTGGCGTGACGGATTATTGGGCTGGTATAGAATTTTTTCCAGGGCTGCTTTTAGTACCCAGTCCGGCCTTGGACATGGTGGCTTGTAAGGTAGAGCAATGTTAGACGTGGGGGCTTGTAAGGTAGAGCCATTTTAGACGTGGGGGCTTGTAAGGTAGAGCAATGTTAGACGTGGGGGCTTGTAAGGTAGAGCCATGTTAGACTTGGGGGCTTGTAAGGTAGAGCCATGTTAGACGTGGGGGCTTGTAAGGTAGAGCCATGTTAGACGGGGAGGGGAAGGTAGACAATGCTAGACGCTTAAGGTAGAGCAACAAAGTTAGAGCGTACGGAGCCACCGCTAGACGGGGGCTTGTAAGGTTGCTAGACGGGGCTTGTATGCAGTTTTTCACGTTAGGCTTAGAGGTAGAGCCACGTTAACGTGGGCTTGTAAGGTAGTAAGTAGAGCCATGTTAAACTTGGGGGCTTGTAAGGTAGAGCCAATGCTAGAGTGGGGGCTTGTAAGGTAGATGTCACGCCGTAATGTAGGTAGACAATGTTAGCGGGCTTGTAAGGTAGAGCCATGTTAGACATGGGGGCTTGTAAGGTAGAGCCATGTTAGACGGGGGACTTGTAAGGTAGAGCCATGTTAGACTTGGGGGCTTGTAAGGTAGAGCCATGTTAGACTTGGGGGCTTGTAAGGTAGAGCCATGTTAGACTTGGGGGCTTGTAAGGTAGAGCCATGTTAGACGTGGGGGCTTGTAAGGTGCCATAATAGCAGGACTTTCACTACAATGCTCATTTTAAGTAGACTGCCTATTTTTATCCACTGTTTTTTTTAGAATATGGCTTTACTTTGCTGATTTTACTGCACCAACTCACTTTCTATATCAATTCATCACAATCTCACCCAAACTTCAGAACCACACTATTCACTCAGCCAGGAACTGCTGTTTATGGACAAGGGATAGGGGAGGTGGTTAATTATCTGCCAGTGTGGCCAGTTTTGGCCTAAAACTTGCACAGCTCACAGATTAGTAAAGAACCTGTTATAAAAGGAGGCCCGTGTTTTCTAATTAGCCTACTGATAATATTGCTGTATTGAGGACTCATCGTTCTGTACTTCGCTGGGTTCATGGCTGAATCCTTCTATCTGTTTCAAAACCCTTTACTATAGTTTATAATGGCTTTCTGTAATCACATTGACAAGAAAAATGGTCAAATAACACACCATAAACTTAAATCTACTCAAATAAATATCAATCAGAAAACACAGGGAATCAAGACTGAGCCAGCTGCATGATAGCGTGCTCCAGCGAGCCAACGCACCCCAAGTATTGAGGAGGAAAATGGAAATGAGGGGGGCAGCGGAGACGCTTCCAACTCCAAATCTCCCTCTGGGCCTTCTGTTTCAAGGTAGTGTAAAATGGTCACAGTGTGAACGCGCCTGACCTTTTGTCTTGGACTAATCTAATTGTGTCGTCTTTGTGTAATCAGTCGGTAAAGGTCAGTGCTGTATTTAACATGGGGCCTCCTTTAGGTAATGAATTTGCCTTGCAGTAAATTAACTTGATTATACTTCTTTGAAATATGTCAAAGACCAGGTCATGTTAACCATGAGAGCGCCGGGCTTTATGATGTGCAGTTTGTCAGAAAGTCAAACAGGTAGGAAAATCTACCACGTATCAAAGGGAGAACTTAGTCCAACATCTTAAAGGGACCCTATAGTCACCAGAACAACTACAGCTTAATGTATAGTATACAGCTTAATGTATAGTATACAGCTTAATGTATAGTATACAGCTTAATGTATAGTATACAGCTTAATGTATAGTATACAGCTTAATGTATAGTATACAGCTTAATGTATAGTATACAGCTTAATGTATAGTATACAGCTTAATGTAGTTGTTCTGGTGAGTATAATCATTATGTGCAGGCATTTTCATGCAAACACTGCCTTTTCAGAGACACTCCTCAGATGGCCACTGGAGGTGCTTCCTGGGTCAGTAGGCAGCTCTGCCGTTCAGCACCTCCTCGCTCTGCATGGAGACTCAATCTTCCTCACAGAGATGAAGTGATTCAATGCATCTCTATGAGGAGGTGCCGATTGGCCAAAATGGCGTTTGGACCCGTCCCCTTTGTCGATTTTAGCCAATCCAATAAGGAAATAAGGTGAGTTTTTCATGCTTTTAAGGGGGGTAAGGGGAGGGAAAGCCACCTTAATGGTGGGTTTTGTACTAAAGGGTGAGGAATACATGTTCCTTTAACTATAATAGTGCATATTCTGTGGCTTTATTTATAGCATCATTCTAAAAAGAGAATGAGTTTGCCAACCCCGGGAAATAATTTACAAATTTGCAGAGTTTCATTGCATTGAAAGCCATTATGCATGGCAATTTAGATGCAAATTGATTCAGTTTAGCTAAAGAAAGATCTTAATATTGATCACATGGTATGAATGGCGTTAGAGTCACAGGCCGATGCCTTGGGGGCAATGCTTTAGGTGTAAACCTTTGCCACAATCAATGAGAGGTGAGTATCCTCTTGGACTTAGTTATATAAAAATGCCATCTATGGATCTGGCCAGTAGGAAATGTAAGCTTTGCCACCAAGCGGGCAAGTAAGGATTTTAATCTATCTTTCTTAGCAAAGCATTTTTGAAGAAGGATATGAAGTAAAGAGAAATGCTGTGGATACAGTAAGAGCCTTTTTACGGGGCCTACTTCAATCCTGCTCGAAGACAATAACAGCAAACCCTTAAAATCCAGATTAACGTGTCACCTCTGCGGCTGACAGATAAGGTGCTTTCAATCTCCTCTTAAATCACAATACATTGTGCATTCCTTTTAAAAGTAAAGAGCACATTATCAGCCTTGTATATCTAAGTAGACATCTATGTATTGTGTGTCTAAATATCGGAAGCGGCTTAGACAGCTGCCAGCAATATGTGGATTAAGAAAGCGTAGGGGGCAGGTCAGCGTGCTGGGCTAGATTTGGATATTTTCCTAGGAAGCCTGGGGGCATATTGTTCTGTTATGGGGTATATGTGCCAACACGTGAGTTACTATTTTTTTAATACATTGCTCCACACTTGGAAAGTGTCTATTTATAAAAGATGATAAAGTGATATGGAAATTGAAACTGGTAACTGAAGGATTGCATAGCCTTCCCGCTATCTTCACACCTCCTGAAAACATGCTGTTTGATCATTCAGGACCCGCTCGCTCAGGTTTAGAAGCCTCTGTGCTATCAACTCATACACATGGGAGCAGAGAATCAGGGGGTGATGGGCCCTTGGATATAAAGGGGAACTCCAAGCTTCCCATCTTGAACCTGATTACTATAGATGTAAAGTGTTTTCTCTGTTAGAATCGTACAACGCTCTCACACATACATTAAACAGCTGCCAATTTGTACGGGCTTTTCCATAGCTTTCAATGCGGGAACCCATACAACTGTCATAAGCCAAAGTAAATCTTATTTGACACTGATTTTATTAGCTTCATTGTTGTCTCTTCGGGAACACATCTGCTTGTGGCTGTGTAACTGCAAGTCTACCAAAAACAGTCAAATGACCAGGATTGTAAAACTAAATGTACCCTGATTTAATGGATAAATATTTTGTATGCATTTTTCTCTAAGTGAAGAAATTAAATTATTATTTTTTGTTGTCAAACTGGGATAAGAATAGTGGAACCTTTGCTTTGACTTACATAAGTGTCATAACATGCAGCCTATTGCTCTAAACGAGGATGCTGGTGTACATGTGCTTATACACACACACACACACACACACACAATATGTTACTGTAACAGTGAATACAGTAAGTACAGCATGTGCGAGCCTTTAGCAGAATACCATCCTCCATAATTCTTCACTTTTCTAAGAAAAGGCAGTGTTTACATTTCCTCCTTAAGGACATCTCTAGTGGTTGCAACACTACAACTTTTGCAGGACAAATGATCCCTATAGAGATGCTCTGAGCTAATGTACCTCTATGAGGAGATGGTGATTGGCACACATGTGCACCAGCCCCAAACGGAAGCACTGGATTGGCTGAGATCATTAATGATTATTATATCAGCCTGGGGATGAGGGGCAGCCATGACAAGACCAGCCCCAGTGGACTAAGGGTAAGTGAATATTATTTTATTTATTTTACTTGCCAAGAGATGGGGACAATAATTAAAAAAATAATGCAAACATGCCTACCTGAGTGTTAACCTAACGTCCGAGTGTTCCATTAACAGAAGAATGGAACAAAGTGAAGCAATCACCATGGAAACTAATGGACACCACATAAACGTAAATGGTTTTTACAATAAATGTATAACCTCCCTCTTGGAGGTCACAGGAATATGTCTGTAGGCTGTATACATGGCTTTGACACAGTTTTTCCTTGAATAAATGTTAGGTTATTTAATGAGATTACGGAAGCCATCAACCCATAAAAGTGATCCACTCACCGAATTGGGCGTCAGTGGCGCTCCAACAACATCAATTATGTGATCTTTCGCTTCTGTCTTAATCTCGTCTGTGCTTAGGACCATCTGACTGTCACCCACCGAACCGTCCACACTAGCGGTGGTGCTGCTGCTGCCTGTTTTGGAGAGGGCTTCGAATCGATGTCGCAGCATCTGCAGCTCGTACTCGCAGTTGGAGAATGCCTGTTTCAGCTCATACAACAGCACAAGGTCACTTCGTAGCTCGTTGAACATTTGAACAATCTCCTCAGTTGGCATTGGGTTGAGATCTGTGGAAAACATGCAGAAAAGGGGTTTTTTTTTGGTGGTTGACATTATGCCAATGCTCTGAAGTAGTAGAAGATACAAAGATATAACACAGGGAAGGGGGGTTATCTTTTTAATCGCACTCTACATCCATAAAGATAGGAGAGGACTCTTTGGAAGCTAGGGTGTTTGTAAACTTATTTAAGGAAATATATAAGGCAACAAATGACTCTCCAGCTGCCATGGAACCAACAATCCACCACCAGTTACGCTAATTGTACACATCGATAAAAATAGATACATTTATTTATAGAGAAAAAAATACATGACTAGAGGGGCAGGAAAAACCTGACCCCAGAGTCAAGAGTGGACTAAATGGGTAATATGGGCTTAACCCAGAAAAGACAAAATTGAAAAAAGAATAACAAATCTTTCTTTGAAAAAAGGGGGTCCCAAGTCAAAAGACTATGGGTAACGATTCTCAAAAAATGTTTTAGATTACCCACATAAAACATGTATAACCCACTATAATTGGTAAGAAACAAAACATTAAAATATAAACTTTATTAGTATTTAAAGAGCATATCAACATAATAGTGAGAAAAAAAAAAAAAGGTGAAAAACACAAAAGTGACTTGTGAAAAGTGTAATATTAAAAAGGAGAAACTTGGGGGTTTGCCCATCTGGCTTGTATATATTAATCACAGCAAGCGTGAGAAAATATACTAATTCTTGATCAATCCAAGTAGAAAGATAGTATTAAGAAGAAAATATCACTTTGCCCTTTTTCTCACTATTATGAAGACATGCCCTTTAAATACTAATAAAGTTTACATTTTAATGTTTTGTTTCTTACCAATTATAGTGGGTTATACGTGTTATATGTGGGTAATCTAACCTTTTTTTGAGAATTGTTACCCATAGTCTTTTGATGTGGGACCCCCTTTTTTTCAAAGAAAGATTTGTTATTCTTTTTACATTTATTTAAAGTTAACATGAACGGAGACCAACAATTAGATTCCCAGCTGGCAAAACATCATGGGAGTGGCAGCATTGCAACGACTGGGGTTCCAACGTATGGCCACTGTGACTCTATAAAACATATCAAACGGACAGAGAGTTAATTATTCTGGTTAAAGCTTTATGCAGAGAGTAGAAAACGATGTACAATCTGTACGGAGAAACCAATAATACAACACATGTATATAAAGTACCAGGGGAATGCATTTAATGGTTTCAAATGTAACACCTAACAGACTACTGTCTACCTATAGAATCTTCCACCTTCCAGAGAAACAAGCAGAGGAGGTCTGGTTATTAATATGTACTGTAACTGTATCCTTTAATGCTCCTCTCGGACTTGGTTCAATAGAGCAATAATTTGTCTACCAATTAAGAGGTTTGGAGAAGAATTGATGTATTCTTTACTGCAGCCGGCAAGAGAGTTTAAAACTGACTAAATCAGGTTTATCAGAACAAAATGTCGCGGACATGGGGATTTTATTCTTCAACGAACAATACAAATTTGGTCAGGTACAAAGGGCAGGGCAGGTCCGCAATGCAAAGAATAAAAACACACAGGCAGCAGAGGCAGGAAAAAGAAAAAGCATTTATAACAAGCACTTTTGTGAAAGCAAAACCAATGTTATGTGTTTTTTGTTACTGGGGCTTGTCTTTTATTCACAGCATATCTTTTAAACATTAGGTTTTCCTGCCAGTATAACAAAAAAGTAAACTGAAAAAAAAATAATAAATCCCTGTGCTTCTTTTATGTGCATGTGAGAAACATTTTTATATTAAACACGTGGAATGTTATTCTAAAATATCTGTGTATACAGTTATCTCAAAACGCTCTTTATTAGTGGGAGAAATAAAAAAATACAGTCCATTGGGACTACAAAAGAGCTCTCCATGTGTATTATCCCCCCCCACCCCCCCACTTCAGGCGCCCCCATTTTTTTTAACTCACCTACTCCCAGTTCCGTTAGCATCTGATCCAGAGCTTTAATCTTCTTCTGTCCAACTGAGCTCGGCAGCTTCATCTGCGAACACAAAGGTAAGAAAGGGAGCCACACAGCTCTTGGTTAGCCCTCACTCACAGAATCCTAGTTCAAAAGGTAGAAAGATTTTTTTATAACATTGCACAGAAAGGGAAAGACAGCAGAATAAAGAGAACAGGAAAAAAGAGATAGAGGGAAAAAAAAAACAGAGGCTCATATTTTTCAGGCAGGGTTTATTTCACATCACAGTGAATAGAAGCTAAAGTGTCCATGCAAGGAAACAGCTCTCTGCTGTAACCAAATGACTAACAAAACGTAGAGGGACAAAGTTCATAGTTTCTGATTTTATAGAGAAAAAACACATTCCCGTGGAGTGATGAAGATGAAAAGATTTCAGCGATAGGATGTGTAATGCAAAATGTGCCGTTTGATTCCTTCTTCTCATTTAAACATGGTTTCATAAGCCTTCTGGGCCAAAATGCTCTCTCCTCCTCTTGCAGGTTTTATTTTTTTCTTTCGAACCGGAGGAGCCCGGAGCAGTGGGGATTCATTTAGCAGGTGATGTAACAAAGAGTCCTGAAGTTAGTCGGCGCACAGAAGTGCGGCCGAAAGCCCACAAAAGAAGGGACCAAGGAGTTAGCTGGCAGAGCAGAAAGCAGCGGGAGCCAGTGAGGAAAGTGGGGAAAAATGAATTATAGGTACTCATTAAAAATAAGAAGTAAAAAATAGGATCACTTAACGGGGACTTGTTACCTATTGAATTGCATTGCAAAGATCACAGGTAACACTGCAGCTTAAATTTTCTCATCATCACAAGGCCGCGGTCGACTGAGCTCGGATTTCAGTTTGCGCGCCTATTCATGATGACTTACTGCCCCTTTCATTGGAACAAAACACAGCAGACTAGCTCCATGTGAATAATTATTACTAGCCTCCAATGAAAAGTCACAATGGACACTAACCAACTGGTCGTTATAAGGCTGTTTAATGCGTGTAGCTTTCTGTTCCAGTTGATGAGTTCAATGCTGTGCGGACGGTCTGAAGACTGAAACTCTGTATATGAAACAGGCAGATAATACTGACAGATTGCGCTATTAGGGCAAAGCATGTATGTATTTCAGATTGGTAAAGGGTTACGTTATGCATTACTAAGGGTTAAACCTAAGGGAAGACAGAAGACTCACAAGGAAACAGCATCTACTAGACTTGTGCACGGAGGAAAAATTCAGTTTCACCGAACCAGACACTAATTTAACTGTTCGGCTCATCTAAATATTGTCATTAACTGTTCGGCTCATCTAAATATTGCCCATGAAAAATATTTGGGAAAATTCAGACGGGAAAGAAAAGAAAAGGCATCGAAAATGGGCCAGTGTAGTGGAAGATATATGCATAAAAGAATTATTATCTGTATCCACTCCTAAAGCAGGAGGAAGTATCATTAGATTGGGTTCTGGCATTCATGTGCATGTCACCTTGACACATACCATCTACCTAGAGATTGCAGACCACATACACCGTACATGGCAATGGTGTTCCCTAATGGTAGTGGCCTCTTCCAGCAGGATAATGCACCCTGACACACTGCAAAATTGTTCAGGAATGGTTTGAGGGACATGACAAAGAGTTCAAGGTGTTGCCATGGTCTCCAAATTCCCCAGATCTCAAGCCAACTGAGCATCTGTGGGATGTGCTGGAACAACAAATCCGATCCATGGATGCCCCACCTCGCAACTTCCAGGACTTAAAGGATCTGCTGCTAATGTCTTCGTATCTTTCTTAAACAGTAAAACTTGTGATGTTAAGTGGCACCAGATTTTTCTGCCTGGGAGACATATTACAGAGGCAACTTTTAAGTTTTTAGTAAATTCATGGATGTCTAAATTGTACTATGCAAAAATAAAGATCTATATTTTGAAAGTCATGGCACTTATAATACATACAATATATCCTTTGAGATCCCTCCAATTTGGCTCTGCTTAACTTCCACTATGTGTCCCCACATCTATCTAATGTTATTCTCATTCCAAATGAAAGCACCTTTAAGACTTTAGTTTCAATGATAACTTCCAGCAGTTACTTAGAGATTTCACATTACAGATTGTAAAGCCAATCAGAACCCGACATTCAGAAAGAGATACATTGTTTGTTACCCAGAATGCCACTGCCAGTGGAAGAGAAAATGGTTGTAAGGCGGCCGTCATAAAGAAATACATGGTTGCTTGAATCCTTTCATTCAATTTTAATATTAAAAGAAATGGAAAAAAAAAAGTGTTGAGCAGGCTTAACCTTTTTAAGATAAAAACATTTTTAAAACTGTCACTTTCGAGCACAAAGAAACATGAGAATGATAGGGACACTTTAAAAAGGAACTGTCACATCTGATATGAGGATAAAGTGGATATTACTTGCCTGGTTCATATGTATATTTTAGTATATTTCTGCCGTGCTAATATACAACTGATACCCCTGCACAATCTAAACCAATACTAATCTACTTACACAATATTATTGCACTAGTCCGCTTATTAGTGGTAACAGACTCCGGAATACTTGTTTCTCAAAGGCAAACAAACTCCTTTGTAGAAAGGAGGAGTGCTTAAATTGGTGTAAAATATTCACTGAAATGGATTTGCTCTGTGAGAAGGAGGGTTACAGTAACTGTGAGAATTACTGGGAGATTATGTTGCTATAGATCAAGCAGATATTTGTAAAAAAAAGTTAATGTTTAGAAAAAATTTTAATAAAAAAAAAATGTAGATAGAAAACTGAAACAAGTTCTCAGAAGTATTTCTCCTTTCCCCCACCTCGTAAATATAATCAATTAATCTTTCTACTAATTTTTCTTTTTTTTTGTACACTGTTCTTTCTTCCGCGTGGAAAGACTTCATTGGGTCCTGGGAACCAGAGTATATTTTAATTTTACCATCATTAAGAAAATCTTATGATTTATGTGGCTGCTGTCACACTAATATCTTTAAAATTTAGCTGGGTACGGCGATTCATCTTAAAGAATGATGGAGGTTGATTGCTTGCCATGCAAAATGTATTAAAACCAAATGAGAAGTCTATTAGTCACACGGCCATGATAATCTGTTAGGTAAGCTCCGTTAGCTAAACACATTTAGATGCGTCGTTACAGGGACGGCCACGATGCCCAGATAGCAGGAAAATGGCAGAAAGGAATGATTAACCCCCTCAGGGTCTGAAATGTCAAACAAAAACTCCAAAGACAAAAGACAAATGTCTTTTCTATATAATTCTATAACAATAAGGCCTGAATGCAAGGAAACAATATAAATGAATCCTCCTCCCCCCTTTATTGGCTGAAATGGCCAGTATGTCCAATTACCGCAATGAACAAACGGCAGGGATGGTTTTAAAGATCTAATTTAGGCATGCACAGATAATAGCGAATCACCGTGCACTGGCAGAATGTGTGGGTTAAGTATTAAGATGCTTTCATGGTAAAAAACACAACACTAAAGAATGTCTTTGGTAAAATGTTTGACGCTGTAATTGTAGTTGTGTTTATACAAAAGGTTTAATTTTTGGCTGCCATTATTGTTCGATAAATGCAAGGGGTTGACTGAACTTTAGATGATTTAGAAATCATCTAAGATGATAGAATGTGTCATCCATAGAAATAAAAAGTCATAGACAACTTTTACGAGTTCCTTGCTGTTGATGTCCATTAAGTCCTGGATTCAAGGGATATTTTGCGCACCACACCTGCATATGTCCTTGTATAGGTCATAATGGAAGTAGCTCTCTATTCCCGTCTCCCTCAATTATGTTGATTAGCACTACAACAATTTACAAAATTGCTGCGGCCAAGTCAAACCAATGCTTGATGACATCATGAGAGAATTTGACTGCACAAAGAGACTGTCATGTGCATGCGCGAAGACTGCACTCCTTATGAGTCCACACTATCTTTACAGACTTTCTTACGTCATTACGATAAATCATGTTCTGAAGCTGCAGACAGGAAGCAAAACCTGAATTAGGCTACTTGGAAAGAGAAGGCAAGCAGTGCTGTGATTCCTGAGATGTAGGAGAATAGGGTATCCTCTGGAGTAGATGACAACACTTCACAGAGCATGTGGAGCAAGCCACTGTTTCACATGCATTCTGAAAACACACAGCTTGGAGGCAGTACATCAGAGCTTTAACATTGTAGCTTTAATATTTTAAAGTCTGTGATTGGTCAGCCACAAAAAGTCTGGGCGAGGTTAGAAGGGGAGGACTAACAGATTGCAGACAAGAAATCTGCAGATTTGACAAGCGGTTTTGAAATATATCTCCAATGAATAAAAACATGACTTATTGGGTGCATGTTTTTTTTATTCGGGGTAGATAGCCTAAAGGAAGGGTAGACAACTTTAAGCATTCCAGGTGTTGTGGACTACATATCCCTTGATGCTTTGCTAGCATTATGGCTGTGAGAGCATTATGAGAGATGTCGGCCTACCCCGTCCTAAACACGGATTTTTTTATTTAAGCAGTGGTGTGTCCCTTTAGGACTGACAACACAAAAAAATATGATTTTCAGTATCTATTCCCTATGAATCTAAAAGTAACAATAAAAAAGTGAATTTTACTCTCAATGTCTAGAATTGCTAATACTTTAGTGTGTCGTGATACCCATTTGCCTGTAGACATTTGTTTAGCGCATGGGTCGTCAACCTGGTCCCTACCGCCCACCAGTGGCCGTTTTGGCATTCCATGTAGGCGGTAGCAGAATCCTCCCTCCATCCAGAGAGATTAACGTTCTGGAAGCGCGAGCGTGTGTGCCTGAATGCGCATGTGCGCCCATTTCGCGTGCACGCACGTATGAATGCGTATGCTTGTGAACAAGTGTAACATGCAGGTAGAGGAAGAGGAGGAGTTGGAGTAGGTAGGGGGATACACGATAGAGAGTGGAGTACTTGGAAAATCTGAGAAAGGAGCAGAGTACTTGTAGAATAGGAGAAAGACGAAAAATAAAAAATATAAAAAGGAAAAGGAGAGAATTTTTGTTGGCTAATAATAATAATAATAATAATAAGTGGGCTACCTAGCTCAGCCTTCCTGCTGGGCATTGCTATAAGGGAATTGAGGAGAGGAGCTGATGCACGGATGACAAATATTATGAGCAAACAGAGAAATTGTCTGAATATCATCGAAAGAGGAGACCTTCGTTTGTTCGTTACGTAAATCAAACCAGATATCAAATATTTAGTCTCGCAGCATCAGCCTCAAGGATCTCATTAATCACTAGTAAAGGTAATTTCAATTTACTTTATTGTTGTCTCATTAAACTTTGTAAAGTTAATAACATTAGAAACATGCATAAAGTAGAAATAAAAAGATAAATGTACGTACATTTAAAAAAAAAAAAAAATTTAAAAAAAAAAACACATTCTCCTTTCTAAAAAATATTGTACACTTGCACGAAAACTGGTGGGCGGTAAGGAAATTTTTCCATCAAGAAAGATGCATTAGTGGGCGGTGGGGAGAAAAAGGTTGACTACCCCTGGTTTAGCGTGTAATTTATAAAAATTAAAAAGTGCAGAACCAAAAAAAAAAAGGAAAAAGTGAAATTTAAACAAATAAAAAATTGTACATAAGTATGATTGGGGTTACTACAGACTTTTACAAAAGAGCCAAATAAGATATATCCTCATAGCTAATGTTGACGCTGCCCTAGAATAGCCCCCCCAAATTATATATTTTACAGTAGATCAAAATATTACCAACTTACTTCAATCTGCTGTACATATTTATACAGAATATTGAATGTCTAAATATTCATATTTTTATAGGGGGCTACACCTCAAAAGCATTGTTTTATTTAAAATTACTATTTATTAGTCTTTTTCAAAAATTTGTTTCAGATGGTTCGTCTGAATCAAATTCCTTTTAGTCCATGCCCAAACGAATCAATTGACCCGGGATTTACCTGCGGTCTCATTCATTAAAGAGCTCCATTCGAATACCTGGACGGATCAGTTTGTTCAGATGTAGAATAAAAAGAATTTGATTTGGACAAAATGGCCAAAACAAATTTTTACACCAGTCTATTATTTCTTTCTTTAATAATCTCCTTGTGTCATGTTCTCTTTGGCCCTTGGAGACTGTTTGACGAGCAGAGCTGTTAGATCTTCAGACAGTGTTCCTCAAAAATAACCGTGTAAGCATTTTAACATTGGTGTCATTATGGCTGTCTACAGCCTGTCTCTCAGCAAGGAAGAGGCTATATGTGTTTCTTGTTGGCTGGAGATTCTCAGGCAGAAGATCTCCTGACAAGTCTCTGTAGACCTCTTAATTGAACAAAGTCAGCTACGTCGACTAGAATAATCCCATCACCTGCACTTTCACTCTATTTTTCGGGACGTTTCATGCTGGGGAGCTGGTAAGCTCTAACTTTGCTACAGAAATTGATTAGCTGGCTGTTTTTTGCCTTATTTTTTTTTTTTAAGGTTAATATATTTTGGACTGCATCCAACTCCTGCCATCTTTTCCCCACAGTTCTCCAGAGGAGTCTAACTCACGAGCATAATTACACAGACGTCTCTTTTGATTTAGGGACTACGGTTCCCTTGGCCTCGCAATAAACAACTGCTTAAACTGCATGAACTGTGCACACACGGGAGAAAAATAAATAAATGGGGACGAGTCAAACCTTTGGAATACAAGAAAGCATCAGTTAATTAAACAAAGGGGTCCGTCATTGCTAAAGGAAAGAAACCAAAAACAATCTGTAAGGAATCTGATCAAAACAAAATAAAAATAAAATAGTTTGAAGGATCATAGGAAACTTTATCACAAAGTTATGGATGATTGAATGCTTTGGGAAATAATTCATACTGACAGCAGACAACCCAGTTTTAAGGATTAGAATCCATTTTAGGTTGGAACGTAGATGCTGTGAGTAATGTGAGTTTGTGTGTTCTATAACACTACAAAGATTTGCAGGAAATATTCTATTTTTACTACACAATGCACATATGTTTGAGAATAAAAAAAACAAAATAAAAAAAGAATATAAATAAGCTAGTTATAATGGTATAGTAACTTGATTAATACGGGGAATGCCCAAAAAATCATTCGATTGTCATTGGCTGAAGCGAATATTTTTATTGTTAATATTTGAACTGACACAGTTGTTTGAACATGAACATATAAAATTTAAAGTAATTGACAATATGTTATATTATCAACAGATTTTATTTTAGAAACACGCAATCTGCACCAATGGTTAAAAATAGACTGAGCAACACATTGGTGGGCCATGGACAATAAGAAATTTAATGTATTGCAAGAAGCAGTCCCGAGTTTAGTACACAAACACTACGGAACCTGCAGGATCAGCCTGATACCTGGACCACTAGACCTATTGAGCAGAGCTTATTATTATGATTGCCGGATTGGCACCAGAGACCGCAGGGTTGATACCTGGACCATGAGACCTATTGAGCAGAGCTTATTATTATGATTGCCGGATCGGCACCAGAGACCTCTGGTTGATAGCTGGACCACTAGGCCTATTGAGCAGAGCTTATTATTATGATTGCTGGATCGGCACCAGAGACCGCTGGGTTGATAGCTGGACCACTAGGCCTATTGAGCAGAGCTTATTATTATGATTGCTGGATCGGCACCAGAGACCGCTGGGTTGATAGCTGGACGACAAGGCCTATTGAGCAGAGCTTATTATTAAGATTGCCGGATCGGCACCAGAGACCGTTGATAGCTGGACCACGAGGCCTATTGAGCAGAGCTTATTATTATGATTGCTGGATCGGCACCAGAGACCGCTGGGTTGATAGCTGGACCACTAGGCCTATTGAGCAGAGCTTATTATTATGATTGCTGGATCGGCACCAGAGACCGCTGGGTTGATAGCTGGACCACAAGGCCTATTGAGCAGAGCTTATTATTAAGATTGCCGGATCGGCACCAGAGACCGTTGATAGCTGGACCACGAGGCCTATTGAGCAGAGCTTATTATTATGATTGCCGGATCGGCACCAGAGACCGCTGGGTTGATAGCTGGACCACGAGGCCTGTTCGAAAGTGCAAATAAGTATAGCTGGAAGTAGAAGTTGTCAGCTCTGCTTACACTAGCATACTCTGCTCCAAAACAAGCCGAGACCAGTGTGATAATGGAGAAAAGGTAAGCAAAATACTTTTTATCTCCATTCTGAGGTGGGTCAGTCACCTAAATATTTACTCCGGCACTATAATGTTAGGAATACATGTTTATATTTGTGGTGGACCACCTGACTGGGTGCCTCCGCCAATCGCTGCTTCCTAGCTGTCGCAGAGTACTTTGAGCACTCCACCAGCACCGTAGTCTGCACGTCCAGCGTTACAGCTTGGCTGGGAACTCGCCGTCCTCCACCCACCCTGGACCCAAGACCAGGATCCAGCTTCCAGTGGGTGAACCTCTCCTACTCCAGAGAGTGTACCAGGCTGCTCTTACAAGAGCTAGTGATTATAGCACCCTCCCTCACCCCCCCAAAGAATAAGAGAGACAGTTGTTATAGATTTCCCCTACAAGCACGAGACGAGGCTCTGTGTTGAGGGTAAACAGGAACTGGTTTATTGGTAGCCACAACTGGCCTTTTAAGCAAGTCCTCATGCAAGGGGCACTTCCCCCCTGGACCAGAGAGTAGACTGCAAAAAAATTTACACAAACCAATGACATTTGCCCCGGGGTCCAGGACACTCCCATACATAACAATGCAATCCCTCCCCTATGCCTGGGAGATAGAGTTAGGAATTGTACTAAACTCAATTATCTCCAGTCACAAAAAAAACTATTTTCCACAACACTCTGAATGTACCCCCCCAAAACCCATGGAAACCCCATAAAAGTTACATCTCCTGATAGCCCCGATCTGGGTGACCAACATATCCAAAAATCACCCAGATCGGTTCAGGAATTTCCTGAAAGTCAAAGTTTGACCGACCGCATGCATGGTCCCATGCCCAAACATGACATGTTAACTAAACATATTAACAAAAAAAAAATCTCACAAAAGAAAATACTAGTCATGGTATTAGATGGTTATGAGCATCAAATGGCTGGTTAGAATAACTTGACTGGCATATAAACATATTTACAATTCGAAAATAAACAATACAAATTAGAAAATAAATACTCCCACTGAAGCAAGCAGCAGTGTTGTAAAGCTGTTCTGTCTTAGAGAGACACTGCAAAGGTGTGAATTAAAATGATCCTGAACTAGTGACTTAACTTATGCTCATCTCAAAGCAGCAAATTAAACATATTAAGCATTGGAAATAGGCTGTGCATTGAGGGGTCTATTGTCTTTGCCTGGGACTACTTATCCAATGCTCATTAGTGGCAGGCTGCTAACCCTGGGGAGTATAAGTCCACTTTTCTGGGTGAGGGCACCACCAGACACAAATTACTGTGCGTTCCTGTTATGTGCCGACTAAATAGCCACTTAGTCCAGCAATCGGACCACGGTATCTGGGCCATCTCCATGCTCTTGATCTGTGTTGCCCTATGTGGCAGAGCGGCTTGCAAACGTAAATTTTGCTCTCTCGAGTGCCGCGCTGGAAAGCAATGGTGAGAAGGAAAGGCTAGTGTTCGGTGGTGTTGTGCAGCATTGTGCTTCGGTGCCTGGAGATTCCGCCAGCAGGACATTTGGCAAGATGGACTCGCCTCCATGTGGGGCCGCAAACCAGTGCCGGATATGTGAACTGCTACTTTAGCCACAATCTCCTTTGTGACAGGTAAATCAGGGCAGGTGGGTCTGTGTTCCAAGTGCCTCCAGAATTCTTGGCAGACTCGATCGAACCGAGCCTCAAAGCTCTCTCTCCAGGTCAGGATCTCTGGGCCCTCTCGAGACTGCAGGGGTTGTTGCTTGGCGGCCATCTTGGGCCCGGCATGCGGTCTTCTTTCAAGCTGTGGAGTCTCTTGCTGTAGATATGTGGCTCTCCCCAGCAAGGACTGGGATAACCCCCACCGGTCCAGAGGAGGAGGAATGCGGGGCCACTGCTCTTAACGGTAACCATGTCAGAAGGTCGGCCAACTTTCACGCTAGGCCGCATAAATGGAGTGTGGTATATCTTGACAGAAGTACAAGAAATGGGTATCCACGAGCCCTCACTCGAATCAGCAATGAGCTATTGGTGTACAGGGCTGCAACAATCACGATTGTGGCCAATAATAGCCAATATTTAGTTCAGTTTTGTCAGAGCTCTCTGCAAACCTCTAGCTAGCCCCCAAAAATGAATAAACTTTTTACATCAATATACATACTGAACTTATCCAATGGGCGCATGGTGGCAAATGTAGGCCTTTATCAAGAACATTTATTTGTATCAGGTCTAAAATGATTGTAAGATTGTATAAACCTTCACCTTTTAATATCTTTGTCTCTTGTATGTTTAAAATCCTCCTCTAACTCCTCTTCTTCTACACTGCTCTGTCTTTTCACAGGTGATTTGTACTTGGATGGAGTTTTCCTGTGCCTTCCCTTTGAATGTCGTTCCCCAAAAAATTCATCTTGTGATATATTTGTTACTCCTATTGTGTAATGGTATCACTCTGTGACCCCTCTGTGTTAAATCGTGCATTGAATTGTAAGTCATATTCTGTTTGCTATGACCTCTCTGATGTGTAGGCATTGTTTGATTGTCTATGTGTTAAATAATGTTCTTTGTTTTATTATAAGGGTAACATGTTGTGAAATGTTTGCTTTGTCCAAATGCCTAGCAGGAGGTCTTTGAATCAAAATCTTCTTGCAGGTTGAACGATCAAGTTTATCCCCATTGCAAATATCACTTACGAGCATTTGATGGTATTACACTATGTTTTATTTTTATTCTTCAGTTTTTTTGTATGAGAGGTCACTAATTGTAGTTTTCTTATGTATAATATTAATTTTGGTTTTAATTTAGAGTTGTATGCAGCTTTCTTGGAGGTTATTGTGTTAGAAATATCCACATCGATGTTAAAAGCCTTATTTTACAATTTGTATCTGTAATATATCCAGTAAATGAATCAGCCCCCTTCAAGATCACAAGAGGCTTTGAAAAACTCAAAGAACTTTGAGAATGACAATTTCTTATACTAAATATATTGAAAGTTCATGGCTTTAATTTTAGCGTCACTAAAAAGATGTGATCGGAGGATAACCAACATTACTATGAAACCAGCAAACATCTAAATGAACGATTTAATATTCCTTTATCAGCAGACACTTTGTGTGGAGTAGAGCTGCAAGATATGGTCAGGCTGTAGCCATTATCCTGCAGATATCTGGAAGTGTTTCTAATTAATCAGGCAGTGTCAGCATCAGACTGAATATTCTACCAGCTCATTGTCTGCTCTCGCCGTGTTTGAAACCATCAGCCTCACCTTACGAATATTTCATGGCTATGGCCGACTCTTTCAGAAAAATACAAATCATCGCTTGCAGGACAAGCTAGTGAACTATATCTAGCTAGTCTCCGTCTCTACCTCCCCGTTACACCAATACGTAGTTCTGCAAATTTGTTTGCTATTCCAGCTGATCACACGGACAAAACATACATATTTCCACAGCATTACATGCCAATTAACATGAATCAAATCCTAGTCTTAAAGGTTCACCCACCAATTTACAAATACAAACTTGTCACTGCCTTTAGATAGTAAATAGTGCTTGTTGTGTAGTGTTCTATCATGGCTTTCATATACCTCTCCATGCTGTACAAGGGTCTTAACGCAGAAATATATTTTCGCATTGATCAAATTACTACTATACCAAATTTACAATTATAGCCCATACAGAATCTTTTTTTTTTAACCCTGGTCTATACGAGTCGGCTGTGTTGCTGCTGCCTGTCCTGGTGCAGTTCAAGATTTCCAGCTGTTTTATGTATTCCAACCACTGGTTTAAACAAAGTTTTTCCACAGAGTTTAATTTTGATATCCAGATGTATTCATTCTCACTGCAGGGTCGAATATTGAGCCTTTGAGTAGTTTGTGAATCACATCAGCGACCCATAATGCATTTCCTGCTTTTACAGACGTATGTCCCTATAAAGTCAGTATTAGTATGTTTGCAGCTTGGGGCATAATGGATATTAGAGCATGTTAGGAGTTCATTGTGACCAGAACTGCCTCTTTCTCGTGACTTCTCTTCTACCTCTCATTTCCATGGACTATGTTGGGTGGAGCAAGCATTCTATAAACGCCCTGGCTATGCTGGCATTGCATTGATTCTGCGGGCTGGAGGAGGCCCTTTCACAGTCGTTGGGTCAAAGACATTCCACAGCATTGAAACTATGATACTGCTGAGTTAACGATGTACCCCGAGAAGTCGATTTACATTGTTTCACAGTTTGTTGCTCACCCAAACAGTTGTGCTTATCCTATGTCGGATTCTCTGTTATTTCTGTCTCTATTACTACGTTATCTTGTAGTGATTATGGTGCTATTAGGCTGCAGCTATCATTCTGCTGGTTTACAAGAGGTTTCCCAAAACCAGTGGTTTGACTATTTTAACAGAATTTTCCAATTCTGTTTTCATTTCAGTCCAATTCAGTGTTTAGGAAACAAACCACAAAAGTTCACATTTGAGGGAGGAAAGACGTACAGGTAATTTACGTTTCAGGAAGTCAGCAACTGAGATGGACAAGGAAGGGACAAAAGATCACAGGAAGAGAGAGATATCTGGAGCGATCAGCATAAAGACTGTATTGTAATCCAACGGAACTTATTATACTGACAAGATAAACACTCAGAGTATGACATGACTTACCCTTTGACTGCGCAGTGTGACGCCCGCTGATTTGAAATCAGGAAACCTTATGCCAGCAGTTTCTGGTACAGCCTGGCAGAGGAAAAACAAACATAATAAACCAGTTAGTTACAAAGCCATACACAAAATCATAATATGTATTAATAGTGAGGCTTTAAAAACAAGCATTTACAGTTCTCAATGTTTTATTTCCCAATCTTTTAGAATATGTGTAACACAGAAAAACTAGTTTACTATAAAAACTAAACTGAAACAGAAATAAAAATAAAACAGTCTGGGAAGGCTAACCATCTGGACCATTAGGAGTATCGGAACGTTAACCATCCAGTCTAGTAGGATTATGGGAAAGTTATCCAGTCTAGTAGGATTATGGGAAAGTTATCCAGTCTACTAGGATTATGGGAAAGTTATCCATCCAGTCTAGTTGGATTATGGGAAAGTTATCCATCCAGTCTAGTTGTATTATGGGAAAGTTATCCATCCAGTCTAGTAGGATTATGGGAAAGTTATCCATCCAGTCTAGTTGGATTATGGGAAAGTTATCCATCCAGTCTAGTTGGATTATGGGAATGTTATCCATCCAGTCTAGTAGGATTATGGGAAAGTTATCCATCCAGTCTAGTAGGATTATGGGAAAGTTATCCATCCAGTCTAGTAGGATTATGGGAAAGTTATCCATCCAGTCTAGTAGGATTATGGGAAAGTTATCCATCCAGTCTAGTAGGATTATGGGAAAGTTATCCATCCAGTCTAGTAGGATTATGGGAAAGTTATCCATCCAGTCTAGTAGGATTATGGGAAAGTTATCCAGTCTAGTAGGATTATGGGAAAGTTATCCATCCAGTCTAGTAGGATTATGGGAAAGTTATCCATCCAGTCTAGTAGGATTATGGGAAAGTTATCCATCCAGTCTAGTAGGATTATGGGAAAGTTATCCATTCAGTCTAGTAGGACTATGGGAAAGTTATCCATCCAGTCTAGTTGGATTATGGGGAAATTAGCCATCCAGTCTAATAGGATTATGGGAAAATTATCCAGTCTACTAGTATTATGGGAAAGTTATCCATCCAGTCTAGTAGGATTATGGGAAAGTTATCCATCCAGTCTAGTAGGATTATGGTAAAAAGTTATCCAGCCTAGTAGGATTATGGGAAAGTTATCCATACAGTCTAGTGGGATTATGGGAAAGTTATCCATCCAGTCTAGTAGGATTATGGGAAAGTTATCCAGTCTACTAGGATTATGGGAAAATTATCCATCCAGTCTAGTTGGATTATGGGAAAGTTATCCATCCAGTCTAGTTGGATTATGGGAAGGCCAGCATGCTGAAATTGTGCAGTAAATCCACTTCATTAGCAGTTTACTATTACTGGCAAAAAACATAACCCACTTGTTACGTAAAATACATTTCCCATCTTACCTATTAACAGTTTGTCAAATAACGTGCACAACCCCCTTCACTTTTCCCAGAGTACCTATTAGTACTAATCTAAGGTTACAGAAACATCTTCCCAGACAACACACTGACCGGGCACCCATACTCAAATCAAGGTCACAGCCAAGGTCAGTGCATTAAAGCAACCTCACACTACACACGCTGCCTCCTATTCAGATACTTTACGTTAGACCCTCATTATGCAAGCCACAAATTGAGCATCTGCTTAATTTAGCAGCCAATTCCTTCACTGCCAGAGAGGTTGTTAGCGCTTATTAAAAAAGTCTGTGTCTGCTTTTAAATGCTCACGAGGTCAGAGATACAGGATAACTAGTTATAGAAAATCCACCTTCTCAAAGAGAGATTTTTCTAGTTAAAACCAGCAAAGGCTGTGAAATTAAACAAAATCTGAACGTACGCAAATACTTACACCTAGTCCTCTAGGATTTATTTTATATATGTATAGTAAAAAAAAAATAAAAAAAAAAATGTTTATATATATATATTGTGAGTACAAGCTAATTGGTATATAAATATGCCATAAGACTACTCTATCTCATGTTCCTTCTCTCTGAAGGCTCCACCTTCTATATTTTGGGGGTTTTCTCTCCCTGTTATCCTCTTGCTTTGCTCTCCTTCATGTCCCAGTGAATAGATACTCTCCTTTTGGCGATTATTGCTGTATATTATTTTTTTCTCCTCTCTGGCAAGCATTACGTAGAACATCAATTTATTTTCTATGTAACCTAGTTGGTACGCTATTGCTGTGTAGGAGACACTGCGGACTGTAACTCCCATCATTCTTAAAGCTTGTAACCTCTACAGCCTGTAATCAAAAGTCTCAGCAATTCTAAATACCCCTTAAATCTAAAATATTAAAAATAATGCTAAATAACACTATAGTCTTTCTAAATCAGTGTAAAAACACAGCTTTAATGACTGCGGACATTTTAAAATTTGCAACAGTAACAAAGTGAGTAAAAAACAAAAAAAAAAAAAACTTTAAATAACTTTAAATAACAAAGAAAAGGCTTCTAAGTATCACTGCCATGTTCCCCATTATGCACGTTAACTCGCTGCGTGCAGAATAATTATAAATGAAACAATGTCATTAAGGCATTTTGTATATTGAACTGCACCATTTTAATGGATGCCCTCTAGTGTTCGTTATCTCTCCTACAGCCATTACCTCTATGCTAACCTCTGGCACATCTGATGTTGTGGACTATCTTCCCATGAGGCTTAGCCAGACATCTGGAGTGCCAAAGTTTAGCAATCATGTGCATATAAACATCTACTGTGTACACTCAATAGGTAGGTCAAGCACTCAAGGACAAATTTAACACTTACCTCACTGGAATACCTTGTAAAGGTTGTGCCTTAAAGCCCTAAAGCCGCCTAAAGCTACTGAGCTCAATAGCCATTTGATTGCAACTATTAAACAGCAAGCAGGGGAGCCCAGGGGAGAAGCAGTGTCCTTGCTATTGATTCAAGGTTTCACAATTGCCCCTTAAGCGTAAACAGACCGGTGTAATCGGAAGTTTGCATGCAGTGGGCACAAGGGAGGCCTGACAGATGTCAATAATTTTACGCCAGCACCCACCCATCACCTGGGAGTTGTCTCTTTCCAATGCCACAAGCCATTAATACTAGTTATTTGCAAAAACAAATCCAGAAAGAGACACCACTTACAATTAAACCGTGGCGCGAGGGAGGTAGAAGATAAAACCAAAGTCAGTCTCCAGTAAGGAATGAACAATCACATAATATCTACCTGCCATTTTACTTCACATCCAAGTCATAATAGGGGAACTAGAATTGAAGGGGAGAGCCTCACACCTGATAAAACATAGCAGGCGGTCGTTATTATACTGGCTGGCTAATTATTCTACCTGTAACATTATAACGCTGGCTAATTATTCTACCTGCAACTTTATTACACTGGCTATTTATTCTACCTGTAACATTATTACGCTGGCTATTTATTCTACCTGTAACATTATTACGCTGGCTATTTATTCTACCTGTAACATTATTACACTGGCTAATTATTCTACCTGTAACATTATGACACTGGCTAATTATTCTACCTGTAACATTATTACACTGGCTAATTATTCTACCTGTAACATTATTACGCTGGCTAATTATTCTACCTGTAACATTATGACACTGGCTAATTATTCTACCTGTAACATTATGACACTGGCTAATTATTCTACCTGTAACATTATTACACTGGCTAATTATTCTACCTGTAACATTATTACGCTAGCTATTTATTCTACCTGTAACATTATTACGCTGGCTATTTATTCTACCTGTAACATTATTACTCTGGCTAGTTATTCTACCTGTAACATTATTACGCTGGCTATTTATTCTACCTGTAACATTATGACACTGGCTAGTTATTCTACCTGTAACATTATTACGCTGGCTAATTATTCTACCTGTAACATTATAACACTGGCTAATTATTCTACCTGTAACATTATAACACTGGCTAATTATTCTACCTGTAACATTATAACACTGGCTAATTATTCTACCTGTAACATTATAACACTGGCTAATTATTCTACCTGTAACATTATTACACTGGCTAATTATTCTACCTGTAACATTATTACACTGGCTATTTATTCTACCTGTAACATTATAACACTGGCTAATTATTCTACCTGTAACATTATTACGCTGGCTAATTATTCTACCTGTAACATTATAACACTGGCTAATTATTCTACCTGTAACATTATTACAATGGCTAGTTATTCTACCTGTAACATTATAACACTGGCTAATTATTCTACCTGTAACATTATAACACTGGCTAATTATTCTACCTGTAACATTATTACGCTGGCTAATTATTCTACCTGTAACATTATTACACTGGCTAATTATTCTACCTGTAACATTATTACGCTGGCTATTTATTCTACCTGTAACATTATTACGCTGGCTAATTATTCTACCTGTAACATTATGATACTGGCTAATTATTCTACCTGTAACAGTATTACACTGGCTAATTATTCTACCTGTAACATTATGATACTGGCTAATTATTCTACCTGTAACATTATTACACTGGCTAATTATTCTACCTGTAACATTATTACGCTGGCTAATTATTCTACCTGTAACATTATTACGCTGGCTATTTATTCTACCTGTAACATTATTACGCTGGCTATTTATTCTACCTGTAACATTATGCGCTGGCTATTTATTCTACCTGTAACATTATTACGTAGCTAATTATTCTACCTGTAGCTTGTTATTACACTGGCTAATTATTCTACCTGTAACACATTATTAAGCTGGCTATTTTATTCTACCAAACATTATTCATGCTAATTATTCTACCTGTAACATTATTGTGCAGCTATTTAATTATTCTACCTGTAACATTATTACGCTGGCTAATTATTCTACCTGTAACATTATTACGCTGGCTAATTATTCTACCTGTAACATTATAACCCTGGCTAATTATTCTACCTGTAACATTATTACGTTGGCTAATTATTCTACCTGTAACATTATTACGCTGGCTAATTATTCTACCTGTAACATTATTACGCTGGCTAATTATTCTACCTGTAACATTATTACGCTGGCTAATTATTCTACCTGTAACATTATTACGCTGGCTAATTATTCTACCTGTAACATTATTACGCTGGCTAATTATTCTACCTGTAACATTATTACGCTGGCTAATTATTCTACCTGTAACATTATTACGCTGGCTAATTATTCTACCTGTAACATTATAACACTGGCTAATTATTCTACCTGTAACATTATTACGGTGGCTAGTTATTCTACCTGTAACATTATTACGCTGGCTAATTATTCTACCTGTAACATTATGACGGTGGCTAGTTATTCTACCTGTAACATTATGACACTGGCTAATTATTCTACCTGTAACATTATAACACTGGCTAATTATTCTACCTGTAACATTATTAAGTTGGCTAATTATTCTACCTGTAACATTATTACGCTGGCTAATTATTCTACCTGTAACATTATAACGCTGGCTAATTATTCTACCTGTAACATTATTACGCTGGCTAATTATTCTACCTGTAACATTATTATGCTGGCTAATTATTCTACCTGTAACATTATTACGCTGGCTAATTATTCTACCTGTAACATTATTACACTGGCTAATTATTCTACCTGTAACATTATTACGCTGGCTAATTATTCTACCTGTAACATTATGACACTGGCTAATTATTCTACCTGTAACATTATAACGCTGGCTAATTATTCTACCTGTAACATTATGACACTGGCTAATTATTCTACCTGTAACATTATTACGCTGGTTAATTATTCTACTTGTAACATTATAACACTGGCTAGTTATTCTACCTGTAACATTATTACACTGGCTAATTATTCTACCTGTAACATTATTACGCTGGCTATTTATTCTACCTGTAACAATATTACGCTGGCTAATTATTCTACCTGTAACATTATGACGCTGGCTAATTATTCTACCTGTAACATTATTACACTGGCTAATTATTCTACCTGTAACATTATTACGCTGGCTAATTATTCTACCTGTAACATTATTACGCTGGCTAATTATTCTACCTGTAACATTATTACACTGGCTATTTATTCTACCTGTAACATTATTACGCTGGCTAATTATTCTACCTGTAACATTATGACACTGGCTAATTATTCTACCTGTAACATTATTACGCTAGCTAATTATTCTACCTGTAACATTATTACACTGGCTAATTATTCTACCTGTAACATTATTACACTGGCTAATTATTCTACCTGTAACATTATTACGCTGGCTAATTATTCTACCTTTAACATTATGACGCTGGCTAGTTATTCTACCTGTAACATTATAACAATGGCTAATTATTCTACCTTTAACATTATGACGCTGGCTAGTTATTCTACCTGTAACATTATAACAATGGCTAATTATTCTACCTTTAACATTATGACACTGGCTAGTTATTCTACCTGTAACATTATGATACTGGCTAGTTATTCTACCTGTAACATTATGACACTGGCTAGTTATTCTACCTGTAACATTATTACGCTGGCTAATTATTCTACTGAGATACTAATCACAAACAGAGTGTGGCCTCTGGAATCTTTCCAGTTTCGTTTACAGACGCACCATATGACACACACTAAAAGAGTAATCGCATAAAGTTCTCATTTACATTTTTGTTATTACAAGACTTAATTTACAACTAAGGGGATTATTGACCTTCTACAGTTTGGGACTTGCCTGCTGCTACAACCAGCCCCAGGAAGAAACTTTCCAAATATCTAGAAGCCACTGGTAAGGGAACTCAATTTGGGGGAAACTCTACAGACCCCAAGGTGCAGGGCCAGATTAAGAGCCCATCGGGCCTGGTGCTGACAATTATGATGGGCCTTATTATAAAATCGTATCGACAGAAAACACGAAAACAGTCATACCCCCCTGGTGGAGATGCATGTCTCGCATTCACCCTATGCTAATGTCTCAAATTCATTTTTCAAGTAAATCCATACCCCCTAATAGCAGTATCTGGTAAAGCAGGATTTTCGGTGGGTGGGGTAAAAGGGTGTTCCACTGACGTGAATCACGTAACCAAAACTGCCCAGAGGGGCAAACATGCCCCCAAAAATCTGCCCGAAGAATTAGAAGGTCAGCCTGGCGTGAATACATGTCAGGCTGCCTGCCAATCATGCAGGCTGGCCAACTAAGGGAATACTAGGCAGACAGTACCCTGAGCTTGGCATAAATGCGTCTAATGATGCGCTCACTCCACGCTTTCTAAGGACTGTCTCCTAGCACTCGCTGGCCCACTCCTCTCCTTACCTTTACTAGCAGGCAGAAGCTCCTTTTACACAGTTTGGGACAGAGAAAAGGTGTATGTAGTGAATTTTGAAGAAAGGGAACATGCCACAGAGTTATATTGAAGCAGCAAGAGCATTTGCATAGTGCACAAAGTCAGCTTTAACTTAACTAATTTCATTGTCAGCCAGTCCACACAAGTTTTGATTCCCTACATCCACATGGGAAGAGTAGTAAAAAAAACAAACAAACAAAAAAAAAAACCTAGCTGTTAGCAGTGGGCCTATTCTATGGGCATGGGCCTGGAGCTGCAGCTCCATCAGCCCCTATATTAATCCGGCCCTGCCAAGGTGTCAGTAAATTGCAGAGAGTCTTAATCATTTTTAGTCTACAATGTGGGGCCATCGCTGCCAAACCTCAATAGAGTTATTCAATAAACCAGGAAGTGCAGATATTGGATGAGAGAAATGACAAACCAAAAAAGCCAAACTGAAAATATTCTCCAACTCGGCTATTTGGGCCTAAATTGAAAATCCATTGTTATTTCTCAAAAACTGTTGGTCTAATAAATCAATCATTGTAATATTTGAGGAAGACAATGTTCTGAGTGTTTAGATGGTCTGTGGTTTTACACAAACCCTGGATATGTATTTACTCTGGTTAAGAGAACCCTTTGGTAAATTCATTTGTTCTGTGCTCTTATAGTAAATATGCAGCAATGTGATCAGGAAAGGGACACAGAACGTCACCCCTTGGAGGAAATATCGGATTTTTAGTACATGCTTTCTTACAGGTTTCTCGGTTTCCTTTTTCTGCGGCAGTTTCTTTTTGGTGGCTCTGCGCTCAGCCCGCCGTAGCTCTGTGGTCGTGTCGGCTGCCGTGATGAGTTTCTGCAGGTCCTGGGCTTTCTTCTCTCGTTCCTTCTTTCGGCTCTCGATTTTCCTTAGCTCTTGGATAAGGTACTCCTCTTCTGACACCTAGAGGTGAGATGCAGGTGAGAAATGTGAGGCATTACAGAAGTCTAACGTCGCCACCTAGTGGGCATAACATTTATTACATTAGCATTTTATACATATATACATTATTTTAGTAGATAGCTAATACAATGTTAAACAAAGATCTGCACACCAGTCAAGCCATAAGACTTGCTTTTCCCACAGAAATCATACATTTGCAGTGATTTTACTACTGCAAAGGATTCTGGCGAACATATGCCAATTAATTCAACAAAAAATCACATTTTTGCCTCATTCCATTTTAAACATGGATTCCTTGGAGTTTATGTTTGCTGTATACAACAGCATCGAAACACAACTTGGGAAAAGATGCAAAGCCAGTGAACCACTCATGGACAGCTGTTTCGTTGTTAATGCAACTCATCAGCATGAGGTTGGTTACTGGCTTGCTATTGAGGCTTGGCATTACTTACAGAGCGCAAACCTAGAGTTATGTTGGGGAAAAATTGTCAATGAAAGCCCCTTCCACCTGAGGTCAGTGAATAGTCAATATGTTGTTAAACAAAGATCTGCACACCAGTCAAGCCATAAGACTTGCTTTACCCACAGAAATCATACATTTGCAGTGATATTACTATTGCAAGGGATCACAATTTTCCCCACCATAACTTTCTTGGTTTGTGCTTCGCAAGTAATGTCAAGCCTCACTAGCAAGCCAGAAGGTCCTGTGACATTGACGTTTGGAGATGCTTGAAGGTCAGTCTCCATCCCACAGACTATGTGCCTGGTCCCAAGAGCCCCTAAAAGCTGCTATTGTCACTCTGGGGAGGGTTATAGTGACCTGGACATTTTGTCTAAGCTGGAGATAATGGAATGAAGTCCCCAGACAGAGTGGCGTCAGAGAGGGGCAATAGTACTGTACTGCAACCGTACTGTTGCTTTGTATGGTGGATGCCCTGCAGGAAAAGTTAACATTGCTGTGTATTAGTAACTGGGTGCTGTGAAATAAAGTCATTCCATGCCCTACATTCATACTCGTCTATAGTGTGGGGGAAAGGCTATAGTAAAGCTATAATCACTGCTCTCCAGAGCAATATTCACGGCAGCCTGGTCTGGCGGATGAGGTCCTCAGAGACCTGTCATGAAGTCTAATCCCAACACGCAGAGTCTAGGTAGCAGTAATAAGCTTGGACTGGAATAAACATATTATTGGCCGGACATAACAATAGAGGAAGTGTAGTTAATAACAAGCCTAGGTCAGGGTAATCGAGAGACAGCTTTGTTCTTGACCCTGAGTTTCTCTGTAAACCCTTGCCTGTCTTGTTATTAGGTGTCTGATTGATTTACTGTGTACCTGACTTCGGCTAGTTCTCATTTTGGAGATACCAGAAATAAAACTATGTATCAAGGAACATACTAAAGGGTACTGATAACAGAAACCACGATAGGGCACTGCTCAAAGGGCCATAGACGTTTAAATACTATTTCTTGTGTTGTGATTAGTCCATACCATGCTTGCGGCCCAAAAATGTATGTGTGAGGGGTGCTGGACTGACGTGGACCAATTAAAACAGGAAGTGATGCAACTCCCCCATTGTCCCTTTAAGAACGCAGTCTGGACGTTATTTCCTTTATAATTTGGAGTCTCCAGTACTGCACAAGCCTGGCAAACCGCTATGGCATTCACCGTGCGCGGGCCAAATAGAGCACCCTGGCCGACACGAGGGTCAGATAAGTAACGCTACCACGGTCAAGCAGTCTGAAGTGTTCCAGTGCCCTGGTGGCAGAGAGGAAGCTGACCTGGCAGAGGTACTCAGTTTGAATACGGGAGCTCCTTCACATACACTTTAAAGACATCGAGGTAAATTGGAAATAAATGGTGAGATAACCTTCCTGCTCTGTAAACTCCTTCTCACTTTACAGCGTGAGATCAGAAACTCAACCAAAGGGATCAAAAAGTTGAAGGTCACAGGAAAAAAAACGCAAACCAGACGGTGAGTTCGAGTAACTTTGTACTTGAGTTCTCTAAGCAGAATTGCAGATGGAAGGTCATAAGGCAAGATGAGCAGGAGAAAAAGGCTCTTCGCACTGACTTTAAAAAGGAGAAACAAGCGATGGTTTGTGGTTCGTACAGTACAGTGGTGTTTTTTTTAGTCCGTGCCACACATGGCACTGGAGAAAATAAAAAAATCACCTTCTTTTCCAGGTGACTGTTTCAAGCCAGAATAGGCCTCATTTAACCCTTGACAAATGTTAAGTTAGCATCTAGCAGGAGCAGAGTCTATGGATTCTTATCTCCCTTATTCAGGACCTAAAAACAAGAATTTAGAGTACAGCTCTGAACCCATAGCTCCATAATGACAACACACATGTTGGAATCACATTCAGTAAAATTGGAAGAAAACATTTCTACGCAAAAACATTCACTATTCTGGGAACATTATAGGCCAACAAATCCAAGCTGGAAAAATTACAGAGCTACAAATGATAAAAAATAAATAAATTTGTGGCTACTTTGACCGCAGGTTCCCGTGCAGCGAATAATCCTGAAAGATGAGTGAGTGGAACCAACCTGCTCCGGCGTTCTGCTATACAGTCTCTCCAGCTGCTCCTTTCTCCGCCTCTCGTGTCCCGCGTCAAATACGGGTATTTTAAGTTCTGTTCCTGGAGTGGCACGAATATTTGCCAGCTTAGCGCAGATCCCATAATAACGATCTTTTAAGTCCTCGGCTGACCTTTTCTGTGAATAACACAAGTACATATAAAGGATTATAAATTCAATTCAGGTGACGAATCAATTATTTTACCCCTTTATAAATTTATCTACGTCTATAAACCCAACAGCCCATGTAGCACATGCGGTGCAATTACTGGCTCCAATTTTAAAAAAGGATATTAAAGGCACCAAGTGGTTAAACTGTTTTCTAGAATGGTTTAGCCCCAAAGTCGCCTCCAGCGGCGATGTCCACTTCCCCACAGATGGCATCCGGCATATCAATTTACAGACTTAGGAAGAGCAGAGTGCTGCTGATTGGCTGAGAGGATCAGCTGACTGCTCTCAGCCAATCACTGACTCCCCATTCACTAAACTGGCTTGGAAGAGATACGTTTCTTTAAGCAAGAGTGCCACGGGGGGCCTCCTGGCACCATAGCAACTTCATTTAGATAAAGTTGTTTGGGTGTCTGGAGTGTCCCTTTAAGGAATTAGATAGAGTGCAAAGACAGGCTACTCAATTAATAAGGGGAATTGATTTGTTTGTTGTTTTAAAGAAAGGCTAAAAAAACTGAAATTGTAGTGTAGCACAGAGGGGATATTCTAGCCCTATTAATATATATATATAGAGGGTCAATACAAACAGCTGTCTGGCAATCTGTGCACTAACAGAACTGGTTCTAGGACACCGAGTCATCCTTGAAGAAAGGATTATTTACAGTAAGGACAATAAGGATGTGGGATTTTCTGCCCAACGAGGGTTTTTTTTTTTATTTAAATTTTTGAAAGTTTTTCCAAAAAAATATACACAATGACAATACAGACACATCAGACAAAAAAAAAAAAAAAACACCAACATAAAATCAGCAAAAACAGATAAATATTTTTGGTTGCCGTCAAGGATACAACTAATCAACTCACTATTTCTATATCTTCATGGAGCTAAAATACGTTATGCCACATTCCATCTTAACCTGCCATAGCAACTATATGTCACTATTTCTCCCTCACCATGCCAGCAAATCTCACTCATGTGTGGGTATATTTGGCCTAATTTATCGGGAACGTAATCCCACACAGTCACACATTTAAAGTGCGTTTCAAGTAATAAAAGGTGAATATGTTTGTTGACTTTACAGAAGAATTCTTAATTTTTAATTTTAGATATTTTCCCAAATTTCAGGATTTCTCACCTTTTCCTGTCTTTGGTCAAGCAGTTTGATCACCTTTACACATTTAGCTAAACCCTTTTTATTGTTTTCCTGTAAGAAAACGTTCTCTAAGGCAGTTAAAGTGTCACTATTAGCTGTCAATAAATGAGCTATAAGAAAACCTTTTAATCTTAAGTAATTAAATATCTCTGAGTGAGCAGATAATGATTGGATTGTAAATCATAAAAAAGGTTTTACTACATCTGAATCAATAAGTTGCTTCGCATAATTAACCCCAACATTTTCACAGATATTTAGTGATAGAATTTCTACATTTTGTCCTAGAACTTTTACTTCCACAAATTAGAGAATTTTTTTTTTTTTTTTGGGAGCTTGAACCACAAAGGTACTATTTGATCTGAAATCAAACACTTATTCTTAATTAACTGTAGGTTTTCTTATAATTATTGGGGTAATTTAATTACTACAAGTTTTTAATAATGGAACACAAACATGAAGTCCCAACGCTAAAGTTGTACATTGTAAGGTTTGTGAGATGGTAATTCATATAATGCTAGAGTTGTGTGGCTATATATAAAGAAAACACAGAGATAGTTGCTTGCAAAAGCCTTGAAGGGCATTGCAAAACACATTGCGTCACACTTCAAAGGATCCCTACTAGCTGGATGCAAAAAAATAAAATAAAGTTTACAGCCTGTTCAGGTAGTGGTGAGTCCTTCAAGGAAAGGTGCTGCAGATTTGTACAATCCATCACACACAAGGGGTTGATCTTCCCTGAGCCTAACAGTAATGACTTGCAGCACTCTGCTTTTGTAAGTGAGATTTAATTGACGTTTCTAAATTATCTACCAAGTTTGGACTATGCGTTTTTAAATTTATATTTTTAGGTATGAAGCATTTATCCAGAGATTGTATAAAAGTAATATAGGTGATATTTCCAGATATATTTTGTGCGCACCATATTCGTTTGTGTTTTTATATTTAAGATTGTTTTTGCCAGAATTCTTTGTAGTTGCTGCACTTTAATTGACTAGATTTGCAATGTATCAATATTTAGTACATTGTTAAAGCACTTTAAAAAAAATTGTATTACTATAAAGTAAGCTTATTTTTTGTATGCACAATTTGAGTGCAGGGTTGATCACTTTTTAGGGATAAATTATTGTGCCACATTTTTACCTGTCCTTTGAAATATTTAGTTATGAACGTATCTGCATATGTGGTGGGAATGTCCGAAGCTTCAGGGGTTTTGGGGGTCCGTAAAGGACCTTCTGATCCAGGTTTTCTCTAGAGCCCCGACCTTAGACCCTTGGGTTTATCTCCTCAACAGGTCCATCGATGGATGGACGAAACGGGAGCAGACACTACTCCATAAGCTCACCTTGGCAGCTAGGAGAGCGATAGCATACACCTGGTTACAAACAGAGGCGCCACACATGGCAAGTGTACATGCACGTATCAAGGAGGTGAGACTAATGGATGACTTAACGGCCAGACTGAGAGGCTCCACAAGGTAATTCAGTAAGGTCTGGGAGCCATGGGATGGGAGCCCGCTGGGGGCTTAGGGAGGAACGTAGGCATGGGGGTCCGGCCCGGTTCTTGGCTCTGCCCTCTCGCCCCCGCTGCCTCCTCCGTGGAACCTCGATACCCCGACTTATTTCCTTACTTACTCATCTCCTACATCACTTATCTTTTTTCTTCTTTCCTCTCTCTACTCTACTCTACTTTACTCTAGTCTCTTCACCTTGTCTGCAGTCCGTCGCCTTGACCCCCACTCGGGGGGTGGGGGACTGGACTTAGTAGGGTACCGCCTAAAGCACATTTAGATCAGGAGAGGTAGCATCCCATACTCATGTGGGGTGCACACTAGAGGGATAGGGTACCGGGGCCAGGGATGTGGAGCTAACCCTGGTGTCCCACATAGCATCCGAGTGCACACGTATTCAGTTGTGACGGGAATGTCTTTGACCCGTCATCCAGACAAGATAGTATATGGTTTCTACATTTTTGTTTTTGTGGTTGTAACAGTCATAAAGTTGCAAAGCTCATGATCCTTTTTGATATAATGTACACAAAATGTGCTATATTGACTGTCATAACAGAGTCCGTGATGGTACGCTTGTTGTTAAAGATATGGCAATGCATACTGTTGTATTCATGTGCGCACGACTAAAATAAAGAATAAAAAAAAAAAAAAATATTTAGTTATAACTATTGTAATATATAGTCTATACTGGAAAAAGTCATGTAGAAATTAAAGTAAACAGAATTTTTGTAAAGTTTTTTTATTTAAACCTTAAAAACACAATATTACATAGGTCAATTTCAGAATGTTAAATGGACACTAAGTTTTTATAGTGTTATACATTATCTGTGGCTGCTCAGCTCTCATACGGTCTCCTTGTTGCGAGTGGAGGAATCCTCACACTAGGAGGCAGTATGTAATCTACAAAGTAGCCGTCAGTATTTGTTTCCTAAATACAGTTATATTTACCATGGATACAATTATAAAATACAAAACGGTTATTTAAATAACAAAAACAGAGCAAAGCAAGACAGGAAAGGGGGAAAAAAAACAAAAACAGGAAAATCAAAAATAACAGATCAAAACACACAAATGAGGTATAACTGTATGGTCATCAATCATGGGAGACTGACTGGTTTGCAGAAGGCATAAGAGGGGGAGTGAATATACGAGTGATGAATACATGACAAACTTGGTAATGATTGGCCAGCACACTCCTCAGCACCTTCATCAATCACTGATAAAAAGATAATGCAGGAGGCGGCGGGGTCTGAACATCAAGCAAGCAGGAAGCGGGCTGAGTGAGCTCCTCAATTAATCCCGTGATAAACCGAGAAAAATGCAGCCGAAATCGCCTTATGACCTATGGAGACAGCATTGACAATCTCCTAAATGAACGGGACATGCTCTGCTCAACGTTTGAGGGGCCTGAAGCTCCGTGCGGCCTGCTATCTGATCTGGGGTGGGAGACACGTCCACTGGATACCGTCTTCGAGATCTTCTGGGCAAAACTGGAGGCGCGCTCGAGAATGGCGGCACTAGCTGCTCGGAGAGCACGGGAGACTTGGAGGCGACATGAACGGGAGCTGCAGAGGCTCCAGTCGGGCAAGCTGGTTCCAGACATAGCGGCATCCAAACGCGCACTTCCACCTGGGCAGAGACCCACCAGGAGTATGGCAGCAGCACAACATCCCCGCAGTCGGAGAGCCGCTAGACACTGCTGTCAGAGATGGCGTCCACAATGCAGTCGGAGAGCCTTGCACCGCTCCCCACATGTAAAGAAAGGGAACACTCAGAACCCACAGCCCTGCAAGGAAAACCGCCAGCCTACTTAGAAGCTTTTCTTCTTGCTACTGCAGATTTATTTTGGCCAAGGATGGGCATGATAGTTCACCCAGCGGATACTAAGCTACAGCATTACCATAGTTGAGCATGTTACCTTACCTTTTTCTCATTGATTACATTAATGTCAGTTAAAGCAGCAGGTCTTAATTATTCCTCTTGTCCTCACAATATATGACATTGCTTATAGTATCCTGTTTATTACTTAAAAATGTGCAGTTCAACCACATGCCACAGTATTATGCCTTTTGAAATGCCCGTGTCTACTGGTGTGGCATCACAAGCTTGTCTATCATACTTATGCACTACAAAAATAAAGAATTGAAATAACAAAAACACACAAATTAGTTAATATTCAAGCGAAGTCAGTCAGCGAGACGGCCCACGTTCTAATATTACATACAACCATTATAAGATTTACGGGATATTCACTAAAGTGAGAATTGATGGGAATTAAAATTTAAGGCCAAAATAGCCAAACTGAAAACAAAACTGACTTTGCAAATTTTTATAATTCGGTTATTTTGGTGTAGATTTTGAAATTCACTCTGAATTCCAAGCAATTCTCGCTTGACTGAATAACCGTTATAGTGTTTTGTACCCAGTTTGAGGATCGGAGTATGGAGGTAAGTCTGACCTTAAACTGTTGGTGGTCATATCGGTCATGGATGACAATGAAGCGAAGGTCAAATCGTCGGCAAAGGTCAAAGAGATGGTCTGTTTCGGTCTTAGTCCAGCCATCATCATGTAAGTACATCTGATACTCCTGCTCAGAGTACACTGGAACCTGCACAGTCTGTGGAAGAAAAGAGCAGGTGACACAAAACACAAGCTTTACCTTAAAGGATCACTATAGGGTCAAAAACACAAACGTATTCCTGTAGTGTTGAAACCACTATCTAGCCCCCATGGGCCCCTCATGCCTCCATAAATATAGCAAAATCTTACTGTATTCAAGCCTGAAGCTGTAGATCAGCATGCTGTTTGCCTCAGAAAAACTAGCTGTCTGCTGACATCATCAGAAGTGGTGGCCTGATCCATTCACAATGCTTCCCCATAGGATTGGCTGAGACTGACAAAGAGGCAGATCAGGGGCAGAGCCAGCATGATTCTAACACAGCCCTGGCCAATCAGCATCTCCTCATAGAGATGAATTGAATCAATGAATCTCTATGAGGAAAGTTCAGTGTCTGCATGCAGAGGGAGTAGATACTGAATGTTTGGATGAATTTTAGGCAGCCATGACCCAGGAGAGATCTCTAACAGACATCTAAGGAGTGGCCAGTGAAGTTATCACTAGGCTGTAATGTAAACACTGCATTTTCTCTGAAAAGACAGTGTTTACAGCAAAAAGCCTGACGGTAATGGTTCTACTCACCAGAACAAATTCAATAAGCTGTAGTTGTTCTGGTGACTATAGTGTCCCTTTAACTTTCACTTTGCAACAATGCATAGAAAGGGGAAAAAAGTGTATATATCTCTCCAAGATGCTGCACTCACCCGAACATGCATACATTATAAAGGTGCTGCTGGGGCCAATTAATACAACACACAAGATAAAGCACACCCGCTCAATAAACAGCAAAGTCAAAGCTCACAAAATGTAATAGTTTTTTTTTTTTTTTTTAAACCACCAGAGTTGGGCACAAATAATGTGGTTTTATGTATATATTACACAAACAAAGGAAATCAAAGAAAGAGCCGTGCATTGAAAGAATCTAAGATCAAGCGGTGAATGACCAAAGGATATTGGAAAATCGCAACGTTCAAACATACTGTCGGTATCTGGCTGGTCTGCACAGGTGCCGTGACCTGGTCTGATCCCTAACACTCACCTCAATCACTGAAAGAATAATAAAAATCTATCACAAAGCAGAAAACTATACCCCTCACGGAAACACTTTCCCACCCTCCCAAGAGCCTGCAGCACATCCATATTCAGTCTAAGCAGATGTGCTGGTTTCACTCGGAGCATAATAACGGCAGCACTAATACTCGTCACATGCGTGGATGCGTCTCACTAAATCCTCTGACGGGGGTAGCAATTACAACCCTCCAAGAAGGGAGTGTAGCTAGTTGGGAGGTTCAAATATTTGGCAAACTTCGGAAAGCACCTCATCTGTGAGACAGTTTGCAGTGAATGTTGGTGCAGGAGAACAATTTATAAATAACAGATTAGCAGCTAGAGGATCACATGTAAAAGAGAAAGCACAACTGGAACCAGATCAATATTTTATTTACATATGCTTAAACCTATGGATTAAAACAGTAATGGCAAACTCTATGAACATGTGTAGTGTGTTAGTGAGTGTGTTAATGTGTGTTGAGAGTCAGTAATTGTGTGAACAAGTGTAGAGGATCAGATTATGAATACAGGAATGAATGTGTATAGTGTTAGAGTGTGTGTGAATGTGTGTAGTGTTAATGAGTCTGTAGATGTGACTAGAGGTTTAATGAATTTGTGCAGACGGTCACCGAGTGTGCGAGCGCGTGCAGACGGTCACCGAGTGTGCGAGCGCGTGCAGACGGTCACCGAGTGTGCGAGCGCGTGCAGACGGTCACCGAGTGTGCGAGCGCGTGCAGACGGTCACCGAGTGTGCGAGCGCGTGCAGACGGTCACCAAGTGTGCGAGCGCGTGCAGACGGTCACCGAGTGTGCGAGCGCGTGCAGACGGTCACCGAGTGTGCGAGTGCGTGCAGACGGTCACCGAGTGTGCGAGCGCGTATAGAAGGTTAGTGAGAGGATGACTGTATGAAGAGGATCAATGTATGGATTCAGGCGTAAATGTATGAAAAGGGTGAGTGTGTTAATTCAGGGATAAATGTGTAGATGGTCAGAGTGTAAAAATTCAAGGGCAAGAAATGTTCAGGGTTCCAGAAATGTTTTCATGTAAACTATGGTCAGGGACGATGACATTCGTACTGCGTTCTGAGTGAATCAGAATGCAGAAGTGATTCCAGATAACCAAGTTTCGATTTAGCACTGAGCATGCTACGTGACATTAAATCCATCTACAGTCAGCCATTACTGATCCAGCACATAGTACAAATGAGACTGTTAAGGACTTCATAAAGTTTCTCTCTATGGTGGATAATAAATTGTGTCGTAAACTTGTAGACCTATTATAAATAGGATCTGAGATATGTCCATAACTGACCTTGTTGAACCTGGCAAATGGGTAATCCTTTCCTTCCTCCGATGCCCGTCGCCAGTGGTAGAAAATGGCTCCATCCTTTCTGGCTGGGTTAGTGAATGGCATCCATTTCCACGGCCGTACCTTCTTACAACCCAGCTTTGCCTTCACAGTGCGGTAACCTTGAGTGGTGTCGCTTGGTAGCAGAGGGGGGCCATCCCTGGAAAAGGAACACACAATGTCCATAATAGAAGATGAAAGGAGCATAGTAGGAGTATTGTAGGAATGGTGTTTATACGGCTAAGCTGACATCATGTATTCCTTGGTTCTTTGTCACTGTGTGACAGTAGAGAAGCGATGACCAGCCTTGCCACTCTAAAAACTTATAAATTATATTTCCAGTAAATATTTGCCTAAGTAAGCGTTTAAAATTTTTGTTGACAGCGGTACAAGTTAAGTACATGGCATTACCTAGTAAATTAGTTCATGGCCCATTCAGAAAATGTAAAATAAAACTATACACAATAATGTAATAAATTCCTTTATTACAGGATCAGTGGGCTTTTCATTGAATCAGAATGGCTGATTTTGGGTGGGAAGAGATTGACTGGCCGAAGGCTGGCAGAAAAATCGTTCACAAACGACTATCACTGCCACGGGGTTTCAGTCTCAGATAAAATGGTCAGTGTGCATTTCCAAACAATGTTCAAGTGTAGCTGTTATATACATCCGTTACTGTATGTATCATGCATTCACCTCCCTTGCTTTTGTCAGCAAAGGCAATAAACTAAAATATGCACAGAGAAAAATAAAGAAGCTCACTGCAAAGTCCTCATGATTAATAAAATTTGTAGTGAGCTCAGCCCATCAGCATACTCCCATACTTCTCAATGCAGGAGGAATTTGTTGCGCATGTAGTTAGTATGTCGAGGAATGATTGACAGGGGAGAGCAGGAGAAAGTCCTACAAGCGAGTGTCCTGCTTATTCCCAGGGCATGCGTTAGAGCATGACTCAACAAATCCCAGGGGCCAAATCGCCATGGCAACGAGGAAATTTTTCCTGGCGCCTGGGATATGCGAGCCCATTCAGCTCCCGAGGTGACTGGCTTCCTGAGATCAGAGGCGGGCTTGCAGGCGGCTCATGGAGAGCTGAGCGAGGCAGGTGGCCCACTGTCACCTCCCTGCTCTGCTCCCTTGCATGTCCTGCAGTGATGCTGGGAACCGGAATATGACGTCACTACGGCCACAGCATTCTAAACAATGCACAAGGGCTGAGCAGGAAGATGATCAGCGCAGCCCCACTGGAAGTTTAAATAAAACAAATTATAAATTTGTTAATGTATGTAAAACTGTGTGTGGGTGTCTGTCCCTCCTCCAATCACATGGGAAATGTGTTTTTACTCATCTTTTTCCACACGCCACGCTGGTCTCGCTGCAGCTGGCCCCAACTCCATGGCCGAGTTCATCAATTTTGAAAATCTCAGCCCATCCAATGCTTCCACCTTATAAGAAAGCATTGGGCGACTATTGTGCATGCGTGAAAAAATGCCACACTGTGCCAATCAACATCTCCTAATAGAGATGCATTGAATCAATACACCCCTATTGAGGGCATTAAGTGTCTCCATGGAGACAGTGAATGTAGGTGTTGCACATTGTGCAGCACTGACCCAAGAAACACCTCTAGAGGCTGTCTGCCTGTATGCCACTAGAGGTGTTACTAGCCAGCAATGTAAACATTGCCTTTTGTCTAAAAAAACAGTGTTTACATTGAAAAGCGTAAAAAGACAGGATATAACTCCAGAACAACTACCTTAAGCTGTAGTGGTTCTGGTGACTATTGTGTCCCTTTAAGAATTGTATTTTTGACATTAAAAAACCTAGCTCCCCCACCGGTGCTCCGGCCTATAAGTTCAACACATTGAACCCATCAAAACCAGATGGCAACTGAAACACAAAGAAACGATACTCTATCCAAGTTCTTACATTACCGTTGGGTTGTTCTTTTTATTTATGTTTGTCTATGTACAATTCTGGTAAAACCAATGGCAGCCAGATCCCGAATGCAAATGATGTACGTGAAATGGAATGAATACCGCATGTACCTCCTATTGGCAACATTTGTTCTTTCTTTGTATTCACAATGCGGCTTCTGCGCAAGCCATATGACTGCATAGTACAATTGAAAAAAATAAAGAATTATAAAAAAAAACCCTAGCTCCTAGATTCCAAGCAAATTTGTCAAGCCCTGCATTAGAGTGTCCTTATAAGGAAATGTTAGCACTTAAAGTGAACCTGCCACTTACTTTTTGTCTGAATAAAGCAGAGCGTACACCTCCCGGTGCATCCCCTCAGGCCTTTTAAAAGTCAGAGTTTCTGACGATTTCTTGGATCGTTTCTGTATTGAGGCACAAAAAGGGAATCCATCATTATATTAATTTTATAAGCAGGTTTGCACATTTAAAAACAAAGTATTGCGGGATGCAGGAAATAACCACATGCTCTTTAATAGTCACCTTGTCTGCATTGATAATGTCCTTTTTGCTGATTATTCCGGTGCTCTCCGATTCTCCACCACCCAGCTCCAAAATATCCCGTACATCTGCTCCGGTAGTCATTTTTCAAACCAGGGAAACTGAAAATCAAATGAATCCTTTAAAATGGAAATGAAAGGTCCACACAGGTCATTTTAATCCGCTATGGATAACCTCGGTAAACCTGGTATATGTAATATCTAATAGGCAAGTAGTCCAGTGTGAGTATACGATCACACTGCAGTCTAAGAATAGACTGTTCTATGCCATTCGTCACCCTAGCTCTGCAATTTTGGGCACAGTTAGTGATTATTGGGAGGACTAGCATTATTGTCCTCCCTCCAAATACGATACAACTGCTGTGATTACTGCCAAACTCCCATCGATGTAAAGATCAAAATTAATTCACAGTAAAAATGCCATCTCTGAATAACAAGTGTCACTTAAAAAGAAATTTGTAATCACAAAACGCATGATAGATATTTATCATATGTAAAGTATCAAGTGTTACACCCACACCATGACAATTTCAGTGATTTAAAAGTGGTGATGGTGCCTGAAGTCTGTTTTTGCAGTGTTTCACTATGAAACACTACAGAGTTTACCCCATTTGCTGCCAGAGGTGTAACTCAACCTAATTGGGGAGTCATTCTCCAGCCCGGTACAAGAGTTCCCAGTTGGCTAATGTCAATTTAGTAAGCTGACGCTCTCGGCCAATCAATAAGTGCCAGGTAAGAGGGTAAATGGAAAATGAGTCCTGGGTGTTGCTAGCACCATAGCCAATACAGTGGGCTTTAGTAACCCCTTAACAACTTTAACCTACCCAGCAGAAAATGACAGTCACATAATACTCATAAACAACCCACAAAAGGCCAGTAGTGCACTTTCTATAACGATTAAAGCTGTCTCTAACAAAGTACAGTGCCAATGGATTTAATATTTTCAGTGGCATGACGATAAAAATGAATTACAAGTTCAAAGGGTTTAGTCAGTAACCAGTAAATAAAGATTCAACTGCTTAATCTAGGGAATATAATTATATAATATGGAAATGGAGATTTATATTTTGTTCATTTCAGCTACTTTGACATACATTAGTCTAACTTGATGTAATCTAAGCACAGGTAGTTGATTCAAGGGGACACTGCAACTGCTTCATCTCATTAAAGTGGTTATAGTGTCTTGAATCCTCATGTGCCGTCTTTCCACTCAGTGTTAAACCATTAAGGTAAAGGAGAGTTCCCAGCCGCCCATCCATTCTGTGCTGCTTGGGATAATGAGGAAGAATTAGCCTGAGCAGCAAAGTGTCACCTGACTGCATTCAGCCTATCATGGTGCCCACTGCTGGTATGACTACAATGAAGAGTGTAATTTGTGCCTTAGCCACACCTTCAGTGAGGGCTGGGCTGCGGTGGTCCTTATTTTACAAAAAAATAGAACATGGCCAGAAGATTCGAGGCACTATAACAATTTAATTAGAAGAAATGGTTATAGTACCTACACTGTTCCTTTAAAAAATAAATCACAAGGGTTGGTCACTGCCGCTGTAAACGTGAGCGCTAACAAAATGAGTTATTTGGCATTTCAGAAGAAAAAAACCTCTTGTTCAAAGCTTCTCGGCTACTGAAATATATATAGCTAATATCGGTGGTATGCTAACACAGCAAGCAAGTCCAATATAATCATAATCATCTATCCAGAAACAGCCATGGAATAGCCGATTTGTGCTACAATGTAATTACAGGACCCATCATTGTGACATGCTAAAGGAACTAAACTGGCTGTCGCTGGAATCCAGACGCACCCTTCATCTTTCCAGCCTTGTTTTTAAGAGCTTCTCTGGGAAACTCCCACCCTACCTGAACAAAATGCTTTCCTTAGCTGTTCCCACTTTCTATAAGCTCCGATCCAGTACAAGCACTTTACTTAGTCTACCTCAATACAAAAAGAAAGCGGCCCGATCCTCCTTCTCCTACAGAGCGCCGCAATTGTGGAACGACCTCCCGCACAATTTAAAATCTTCCCTAAGCCTAAAGTCATTTAAGAGATCCCTCTCTACATACCTCAAAACAGAATGCACGTGTCATGGTTGATTATATATTTCCTGCCTGTTCTATGTTAAATTTTGTATATATTGTGTATTAATATTGTTTTTGTATTTTGTTGTACCTAATGTAACAATGCAATGATTTGTGGACCCAGGACATACTTGAAAACGAGAGAAATCTCAATGTATCTTTCCTGGTAAAATATTTTATAAATAAATAAATAATAATCTAAAATACAATGCTTCGTATGATTTCTAAACAATTTCCAAACTTCTACATGTCAGGGTTTATGTCTGATTGTAAGGTGAAAGGAGAACTATTGACAGTGACAGCGAATATCCACTGTAACGGGAACAGGGTAGATTGTTTCCCAAATGGAGATCCAGACTCGTCCTGTGACATCGCCTGTTCCTTCTCCATATGATCCTGAGGCCACACCATGGTTCTTCAGTATAACGTCTTATCTTCTAACCCACAGGCAAATATCACCAATTCCTCTGAGTGTTGCTGACATCCCAGGCCACCGTCATTAAAGGGTTTCTCCAACCCTTGGGAAAGAATACCCCAAATACCTTATTCACAACAAGCACTAGCCTCCAGCAACACATCATTTAAAGCAGGGGTTCTCAACGTTAGTCCTCAAGACCCCCTACCAGTCCAGGGTTTAGGGATTACCTGGGTGTGTCTAAGGTGTTTAGAAAAAGAAAAAAAAACACCTTAGAGTCTAAGGTGTTTTTCTTTCCCTTTTTCTAAACACCTTAGACACACCCAGGTAATCCCCAAATCCTGGACTGATAGGGGGTCCCGAGGACTGGGTTGAGAACCCCTGATTTAAATGAACGCTATAGGGTCAGGAACACAAACACTCCTAAATATAGTAAAATCCTACTTATATTCCCATTGAAAAGCATTGCACTGGCTGAGCTTGTCAATCAGGCAGATCAGGTGCAGAGCCAGCACAAGCCAAACAGCATCTCCTCATAGATATGAATTGAATTAATGTATCTCTATGAGGGAAGTTCAGTGTCTGCATGTAGAGGGTGGAGACACAATGTCAGTCACAATGTGCAGCACTGCCACAAGAAGCACCTCTAGCAGCCATCTGAGGAGTGGTCAGTGGAGGTGTCCATAGCCTGTAATGTAAACACTGCATTTTCTCTAAAAAGACAGTGTTTAGTGCAAATAGCCTGAAGGGACTGATTATACTCACCAGAACAAATACAATAAACTGTAGTTCTGGTGACTATAGTGTCCCTTTAAGTTACGGCCACACAAATAAAGATAGACATATGAGATGGACTTCAATGGTAGTGACGACACGCTCAGAAGACCTTCCTGTTACAACCACTATGCTAAACAAATAGTTTAATTTTCTCTCTCTCTTACTATCTGCATCGTTAATCTCTGAGTGACCAAAGGCCGCACATTCCAATACCGTACAAATCCTCATTTCAGCACCTTGTCCTAAACTATCACAGCAAAACTCAGTGTAGGCACTATAACTGCTTAATCTAATTGAAGTGGTTATAGTGTCTGTAGTTCCCTAGCGCCATCCTTCCATTCAGTAATGTGTATTTAATGCTAAAACGAGAGAGCGAGCACCATCATCCCATCTCCTCTATGCTGCTTAGGCTAATGAGGAAGAATGGGTGGCTGTGATTGACTGAGGATGTCAACTGACCTCTTTCAGCTTATCCCAGCAAACACTGCAGGTATTAATAGGTACGGCTAGAAGTAGGCATGTAATCTCCGTGTGGCGAAAGTAACCTTTTTTTTAATTCCATATTGATAAAGCCATTGAAGGCGAAACGCGTTTTTGGATATTTATTTTGTGTATTCTAATTATTAAAGAATTTTTGGTCACTTCTTTGGTTGTACCAATCATCTTTAGATATTTTATATTTTCTACTCTTACCTGGCACCTTCGACTTCTAGACTCCAAGCAATCATTGGTGGGGATTATTCCACCTACGCCAATATCAAGGAGCAGATAGCCTGCTCCTCCCTTGTGAGTACCATTTTATTATTTTTATCTCCATTTATTTTATACAGAGAGCACTATTGGTTGTGTCTTTTTATTCTCTTTGAGTGGCACTTACCTTTGAAGAAAAGAAAACTGCACCATATCCTACAAGCGGGGATCTAAACCGCTGTACGCTTTCCACACTAGAGCTAGCTATAGCTCTATCAAATGTGAGTGCTATATTATTCTTTTTATATTATCTGCTATACCTTAGTGAACATACTACACTATCCTGGTCATCTGTTTTGTTTTTTTTTGTTTTTTTTACATATCATTGTATCCATTTGAGGAAGGATAGCGAGGACACTGTTCCAAATTCACCATTCTATAAACTACTGTATTTAAGGAAGACCTACTCAGCTAAGACTCATTTTATCTCTATCGGATTTTCTCTTTTATATTGGACTAACTTTATTTGTTGTTACTTTTTATTTTTTAGTTTTATCTGGCGCAACCCTTTTCTTCTTCCAAAATGGTTATAGTGCATACGATGTCCAAATAACTACAGTGGACCAAAACAGCTCAAAGCCACCCATTCCACCAGTTAAACTGGTCAGTAGTCTGTGACACATATATTACAGGGGATGACACATGATAAAGGTATGTGATGAGAGGCATTTTCTACAGGTATTGGATACGTCGGCATACACAATTGGAAATATAAAGAAAGTCTGGGATAAAGAGTAATTAATAAACATAACAGGAGAAAACTTCTAGAGCTAACAAACTATAACTGGCACAGGGATACAGCGCAACAGACACAGAGACACAGTGTACCAGACACAAAGATAATGTATATGACTCCCCATTAAAACTGTATGTATATGACTCCCCATTAACACCCCCCCGTGTTACTCCCCATTAACACCCCCCGTGCTACTCCCCATTAACACCCCCCGTGTTACTCCCCATTAACACCCCCGTGTTACTCCCCATTAACACCCCCCGTGTTACTCCCCATTAACACCCCCCGTGTTACTCCCCATTAACACCCCCGTGTTACTCCCCATTAACACCCCCCGTGTTACTCCCCATT